GAGTTCCTATCATATTTCCCGAGTCGGTCCGGCTCCGAAGTGGTGTACCTCGAACAGTCATACCCACGACCGAAATACTTCTTTCCTACCGTCTTCGCCATGCAGACTGTTCTTTTTTCTTTCGCTAGTAGTAACGCTGTCGGCATGTACCCTTCACAGAGGAATTTTCAGGCGCAATGGCTAATGATTTCTGCAGTGCTGGCCAACTATCTCTTCAAGCTTGCCAATGTGGATTCAACCGCATGGATGCAGAAAGGCGTCGCAGTTGCTGCATACACAGTTGCCGTCCTGTGTTAGTTATTCCGAGAGCATCCTTCCCAAAATTCTTCTCTAATCTTGGAATTAGTACTGGCCTTTAACACGAAATGGTCACTTCGGTTGACAGATGCCATCGGATTCGTCAAGACTATCACGCTGATATTGTAAGTTCAACCCTCGTGTATCTGCGTGAAATACTGACCGTCGTCCAGTATCGGTATCACCGGGCTCGTAGTTCTCGGTGGACACACTTCTGTCAGGGATCCCACAGTCAACTTTCGGGATGCCTTCTCTGGAACTTCGGGAGCATCAGTATATGGTGCCACGAATGCCCTGGTCAAGGTCATGTTCTCGTATGCTGGCTACAGTAATGCATGCAATGTGGCAAACGAAGTCAAGGTGCGCGGCCTACTTCCTGACTGCTCTGCGCTATATACTGACATGACTAGAATCCGACCAAAACGATGAGCTGGAGCGCTCCAGCCTCGCTATTCTTGGTCGCTGTCTTGTACATGCTTGCAAACATTGCGTACTTCTCTGTTGCCACCAAGGAAGAGATTCTGAATTCAAGCACGGTCGCCGCTGGTCTTTTCTTCGAGAAAGTTTTCGGGTCGTCGGGTGCATCACGGGCTCTCAACTGCCTGATCTGTCTCAGTGCCCTGGGCAACTTGCTAGCTGTTCTCATCGGACAGTCGCGAGTGCTCCGAGAATGCGGAAGGTATGCTAAGGACTGTTCCATCCTTTCGGTCAAGGAATCCACACTGACAGCCTGAACCAGACAAGGTGTTCTTCCCTTCACGACATTCTGGACCTCGACCCGCCCCTTCGGCACCCCTCTAGGCCCATACTTCGTGAAGTGGTTCCTCACCGTCATCATGATCTTGGCTCCACCTGCGGGTGATGCCTTCAACTTCGGTACGCACCGGCTTTTTAAACACTGTGAGCCCATGATAGACGAACTAACGATGAACTATCATAGTTGTTGATCTGGGCGTATACCCCAGCAATGCATTCAACCTCCTCCTCGCCGTCGGGCTGCTTATCACGCGTCGCCGCCGCCAGCGTCTGAACGTCCCGTCATCAGGCTACCAAGCATGGACCGCGACCGTCTGCTTCGCCATCCTCTCCAGCTTATACATGCTCGTGGCACCGTGGTACCCGCCTTCCACCGGCGCGGACGGCGGCGACGTGAATTTCTGGTATGCGACATATTGTGTCGTGGGTCTCGCCATGTATGTTCCCCCCTTCTCTCTCCAATATATCAACTGTCCAACGAATCTTACCCACTTTTCAAACGAATGCTAATGAACCCCAGTGTCGCCCTGTGCGGAGTCTACTACTACATTTGGATCAAGGTCCTCCCGCGCCTCGGCCGCTATGAGTTCCGCCAGACCCAGATCCAAATCGAGGAGCACGCGACGGCCAACAAGCTGGTCAAGGTACCCGTGGACCGGCTGGAGGAGTGGGATCGGGAGCACGATGCTCTGGGGCGAGTGCGGCAGCGGGCTGCCCGGACGGCGTCGAACGAGACGGGGGAGATTGTGTATGAGACGAAGGCATGATATGATTTAAAAGCTAGAGGGTATCTATCTCGTAGGCTGTGCCCTTTTGGAGGGGGATGGAGGTGAAGGGAGCGGTATTGCAGTGGGTAGTGAGAGGTGGGTTTTGATTGTACATACATACGTCTTTATCCTTGTATCTAAGCAAAAGTTTTTTTTTTCTAGATGGAGCGGTCGAAAAATCCGTGGTCAGAGTCCATAATAGGAATAGAGTAATGATCAGTATGCTCAGTCATCAAGCATAGGTAGTGAGTGACCTCGGCACTACAGAGTAACTACTGAGCCTACTACCTCAAGCACGTCCATGAACCAAAAGGGCAGACCGAACGACTTACGAATACCCACACGCCAAGATCACATACACACACACACACATCAAATAACAATTAATATTAGGAACCTATTATCATAAACACCATAACCCCACGAACGGAGGGCAATTTTCGATTCTAAAAGAAAAGCCACATGCCCACGCGCTTGACCTTCCCAAGCAACCCCTTCTCCTCCTTCTGAAACCTCGCCAGAAACCCTCCACCTTTTTCTTCGGAGCTCTGGGCCTCCGCAACATGATCATCAACATCCTCGCCCTCGATATGCGCCAGATTATACCGATCGGTGAGCAGATCCATCTGGTCGACGCGGACGAACGTGGTGCGCTTGAAGAGCTTCCAGCCGACGAACATGACGAACATGATGGGGAGCTCGATGTAATACGACACGAAGTCCACGGCGTGGAAGCTGGGGCTGAAGCAGGACCACCCTTGCACGAGGATCAGGACGGCGTTGAGGACGATGGCCAGGATGGGGCCGACGGGGTAGGTCCAGTTCTTGTAGGGGAGGAGGTGCTCGAGGTTCTGGTGGCGGATGCCGGCGCGGAAGCGCAGCGAGGCGACGCCGATGAAGAGCCAGGAGAGTTGATTGGAGACGCCGACGATGCTTTACACAAGTGTTAGGGTTTGGGGCTTGTATGGTAGGGGGTTGGGGTGAATAGGGTGCAAAGGGGACTGGGGGCAAGGGGGACGTACTTCTGAAGCCACGACCACAATTGGCCGGCGCCGATGTAGCTGGCGCCGAAGCAGAGCCCGCTAATCACCGAGGTCGCCAGCACGGCGACCCAGGGGACTTGGAACCGGTTCAGGTGCCCGAACACCCGTGGCGCGTAGCCGTCGACGGCCAGCGTGTAGAGGAGGCGCGAGCCCGCGAAGAGCGCGTGGTTGGCGGCCGAGATCACGCTCGTCATGATCACCGCGTTGATGAAGCTGCCCGCCACGGTGCTGCCGGCTTCGACGAAGACGATCGTGAACGGGCTGGTCGCCGTCGTCTTGGAGGACAGACCCGGGTAGTTGTAGGGGACGTCCAGGCCGATCAGCACGATCGAGACGATGTAGAAGAGGACGATGCGCCAGAAGACGTTGCGGACGACCCGCGGGAGGGTCTTGGACGGGTTCTTGGTCTCGCCGGCGGTGATGGCGATGGATTCGGTGCCGCCGCTGCGGGAGTGGGTTAGTTTCGCGTGGCTTGGAATTGCACGAGGGGAAAAGAGAGGGGAAATCATACTAGGCGAAAGACGCGGTGACGAAGACGGAGGCGAATCCTCCGATTCCACCGACGAACGGAGCCTCCCCGGTGTAGAAGAATTTGTTTCCGATGTAAGTGTGATCCCTGTTGCCGCCGCAGTTGACAACGATACCGAGGATGATGAAGATCTATATCAAATTAGCATGGTCCCGTGCATATCCGATGCTGCACCAAGACGAAGAACATACAATAATGGTCACGACCTTGAGTAGACTCAGCCAGTACTCGATCTGCAGCACAACCAAAGTTAGCCAAAACACCAACCCACCATCCACCAACCAGAGCAGCGGAAACGAACCTCTCCATAAACCTTCACAGACATGACATTCAGAAAGATCACCACAAACAGGAAGATCAAACTGATCGCCCAGCCGGGAAAATTATCCGTCCAGAACTCGAGAACCAGCTGCAGCGCTATGATATCCGAGGCCGTGGACACCGCATCATTGAACCAATAGTTCCACGTCAGAGCAAATCCCAAAGCATCATCGACGAAACGACTAGTGCCCCAATCTCTGTTAGCCTCGATTGCGCGCGCACCAAAAAGACAGTGAAGCAAACTTACCCAGCAAAAGTACAGAACGAACCCGCAACGGGAATGAAAGCAGCCATTTCACCGAGCGACAGCATGGTCACATAGACGATGGCACCGCAGATGATGTAGGAGGTAAGCATGGACGCCGGGCCACCGGTGGCCAGCGACTTACCCGTGCCCATGAACAAGCCCGTGCCGATGGTGCCGCCGATGGCGATCATCTGCACCTGGCGGGCAGAGAGCTTCCGCGCCAGCCGATCCGCGCGGACAAATTGCGCATCCGCATCGACGAAGCCGCCAGATGCGCCGGGCCCTTTGGCCGGAGGCGCTCCTGCTTCGGCAGCGGGGTGCTTCTCGATGTCAGGGACTGCCATGGTTGTTGCGGTCTCAGAATGAACAAGCTTGTGAAAAGCTGTAACATTGCCATGTTAGCACATTCACCAGGCTGTAGAAGAAGGTAGGTAGGTAGGTCGGTAGGTAAGTGAGTTGAGGTGTTGTAGTTGCTCACCCAGTATACAGCAGACCAGTCCGTCCACCAATGACGACAGACTACCCAAAGCACTAAGAGTCTCGTCCAATGCGCAGCACGTGACTTGTGAAAAGTGGAAACCCCCAGACAAAACTAAGCCGAGAAGACCAAGAAAACTAGGCTAAATTTGCAGGCCAGATCGGCGTCTCAGCGCTTATATGAACTGCTCAAACCTCCTGGGCAAGACCTCGAGCCAGGGAAAAAAGAAGTCCATCTTCAAGCTGACAGCTCTCGCCCCGTCTTATTCTGCAATTGAAGTTTTTGACGTTAGCGGATGGCGTGATTGAAAAGTCTTACGTAGCAAGAATGGAATTGGCCATCACCGTCGCAAATTGTTCGATGGAACTGCCGATGCAAAGCGGGTTGGACCCACCTCTCGGCTGTCACCCACGTGATTGTGACTCCAAGATCAGATAGGCAGATAGAGTTATCGAGGCCCTCAACTGTATATACGAGCATCAAATCGGATTGATAGGTTGATGCACTGTATCTATACATACTATGCATATTATACAAACTATGCATTCAAAAAGTGTGGAACCACTGAAAATGCTTTTGAGATTATCCGCTATGTAACAATACAAATCAGAAACAATATCAAACACAAGGATATACCCATTGCAGAAGACAACCCTGAAACCCAGACAAACTACCCCAGCAAGCCTGCAGCCAAGGATTCCAGATCCTCCAAGGTCTGGATCTGCGGCTCGGACTCTTTCCGGGCCTTCTTGGCCTTCTTGGACTTGGGCTCGTCGTCGCTGTCGTCGTCCATGAACCACTTCTTGGGACGAGGGGCTTCCTCTTCCGCTTCTGATGCAGAGAATCCGCCATCCATGTCGCGGTTGTCGTCCTCCTTGTACGGAGCAAGGTAGGCCACCCTCTCCTCGCCCTCTCCTTCCTCCCCTGCCTCCGCAGCCAGCAGCTCGCGCTCGCGGGCCTTGCGCTTCTCCTTCTTCTCGCGCTTCTTCTGCTTGGCCACCTCCTTGTCCTCGACATCCGCCTGCCGCGTGCGCTCGGCCTCCTCCGCCAGGAAGCGAGCCTGCTGCTCCTTGGCATCGCCCTTGGCCTTGAAGTCCTCCTCGTCCTCCATCTCGTACAGCTCGTGCGCGTTGCCCTCGTCGTCGAAAACGAGCTTCGAGCCCTTGCCCTTGAACTTGAGCAACTTCTTCTTCGACTTGAGCAGCTTCTCCCGGCGCTTGGAGTCGATGACCAACGCTTGCTTGCCATCCAGCTGAACCACCTTTGTCGGTTTCTTCTCCGCGCCTTCCCCGTCTGTATCCTCATCCGAGCTGGATCCAGCTCCCAGATCCTTATCTCCGGCTTCGAAGCGGCGTTTGACGGACAGGAAGTCGTCATCCTCGTCGGCATCTTGCGTGGCAGTGTTGGGCTCGACCATCGTGCCGTCGTCATTGATAAGTTTCGAGTAGTGGTCGGCCAACACATCCTGGTTTCGTCGCTCGAACATGCGGTCATACTTGGTCCGTACTTGGGGCTCTTCCTTCTTGGTCTTCTTCTTCTTCTCACCATCTTCGTCCGACTCGTCGTCGCTGGACGCGTAGGCGGCCAGACGGGGCGCGTTCTTGCGCTCTTTCGTGTCCTCACCCTTGATGAACTTGATGCGGGGCGCACCGGGAAGACCCAGACTAGCCGCAAACTCGTCCAGCTTGAGGTTCTTGACATCGAATGTCTCCTTGTCCTTCTGAACGTAGATAGACTTGACGTAGGAGATAAAGGCCTTCTGGCCCAGGTACTTCAACTCGGGGTCCTTGAAGCACATATTCTGCAATTGGTCCTTGATACTCTGCTGCTTGTTCGCCTTCACGTTGATTCGCTCGACTTGAACCTTCTTCTGTTCCAAACTCTTCAACATGCCCTTCTCCTCGCTGGGGTCCAGGAAAAGTACCGCGCGACCGTCGCGCTCGTACCGTGCCGTACGACCCACACGATGGATGTAGGTATCAGCATCCTCCGGGCAATCCAGCTGGATGACCCAGTCAACAGCTGGGAAGTCCAGCCCACGCGCAGCGACATCGGTGGCGAAGAGCACTGCGTGTTGTGCCGACGAGAACCGGGTCGTGATATCGAGTCGGCCGCCCTGCTTCTGTCGGCCGTGAAGGTGCATCAAGGGAATACCGGGCTGCATGTGCCGGAAGGTCTCGTAAACGAACCGCACCTGCTTGCCGGAAGAGAGAAAGACAATGGTTTTGGTTTTCAGGTTGCTTCGGATGAAACTCCACAGGACATCGAGCTTCTGCGCGAGGGGGGTGACGACATAGTGTTGTTGAAGTTTGGAGGGGGTGGCGGACGAGGCGGTCTCGTGGACAGCCACGTATTCTGGATCCTGGAGACTCAGTCGCGCCAGGTCGGAGACCTTCTTCGTCTGCGTTGCGCTGAAGAGCAGCGTCTGGCGCTCCTTCGGGAGATGGCCGATGATCGCGTCCACGGTCTTCTGGAATCCCATATCCAGAATGCGATCCGCCTCATCCAGAACAAGCATCTGTAGGTTGTAGGTATCGAACAAAGCGGTCTGATCCAAGTGCTGCAGCATCCGACCAGGCGTACAGACCAAAATGTTCATCCGTCCCAATCTCTCCTGCTCCTCACGCAGACTCTTTCCACCGATAACGAGACCTGCAGAGAACTGGTGGTAGCGACCAACTTTGCGGAGGACTTCGAAGATCTGGATCGCGAGTTCGCGGGTCGGCGAAAGAACGAGGGCGCCCAAGCCGTCTTGCTCCGCCCATTGTTTGCGGTAGAGGTTCTCGAGAATAGGGACCAGGAAAGCCAGAGTCTTGCCGCTTCCCGTCTTCGCAGCGCCTAGAACATCGCGGCCCTTGAGCGCATGACTGATCGCACGGGACTGGATATCGGTCAAAGTCTTGTAATGAGATGAGGCGAGTCCGGAGGCGGTCGGTTCGGACAAAGGCAAGTCGGCGAATGTTTTGATCGAGTCCTTGACATCGAGCTCTTCCACTCGCTGGATGAGGGAAGACAGATCGTCTTGGGCACGCTTGCGCTTCAGATTACCGGCCCGCTGAGGTGGTTTGGCTTGCTTTTTATCACGAGGACCGTGAGTCGGAGCCATAGTGGGCTAGTCTAAAAGATCAAATCCCACAAGTGCGTCCACAGAAAGCAAAAGGCGAGAACTGGTATCGTGTGAGAACAATAATAATGCAACAACGATTTGGCGCTGATCAGAAATGCGAATCTCGATCTCCGGGCGGTGAAGCAACTTTTTTTTTCTCTCGTTTTGGTTACCAGGCGGGCCTAGTCGCCGATGACTCAGCCAGCGATAAGCCAATGCTTATCATCGATCGCCATTCAACTTGCAGACACACGACCAGTGCGACCCTGGGGAGAGCTGCCTGTTCTTGACCTGGACCCCGGAAATACAGCATCATGGCCTCCGAGGAACAAGATGCGCTGGACGCTCTCGAGCGGGAGGCGTCCGACTTTGACAAGGTGCCTTCCACTTCACCCCCCTCATCCCATCGACAATCCCGTCGCCAACGCTAACTCCAATCGCAGGATGCAGAGATTGATCGGATTAGGAACGCTTTTGTCTTGGACGCGTAAGTTGCGCGCATCATACTGCAAGAGCTAAGAATTGCCAAAGCGTGGTGACCAGAAGCTAACCCGCGATGGTTGGGATAGATACGCCGTGCTCGACCTCCAGCCGGGAGTCACAGAGAAGGATATCAAAATGTGCTATCGCAAAAAGTCCCTCCTGATCCACCCGGATAAGACCAAGAATCCGGCAGCCCCCGATGCCTTCGATCGTCTCCAGAAAGCGCACTCCGCACTCATGGACGAGAAGAAGCGCGAATACCTCGACGAATGCATTGCGGACGCGCGACGACTGCTGATCCGCGAGCACAAGTACAATCTCGACTCTCCGGAGTTGAAGACGGAGGAGTTCAAGAAAGAATGGCGTAAGATGACGGTCACAGTGCTCTTGGAAGAAGAGGCGCGGCGGCGTAGGCAGGCCAAGGCGAAGCTGCAAGAGGAAGGACGCGAACGGCGCAAGGAAGAGGAAGAATTGGAGGCACGGAAACGGAAACGCGACCAGGATAAAGCCTGGGAGGATACTCGCGACGAGCGAATTGGTAGCTGGCGCGACTTCCAGAAGGGACATAAGAAGGACGGGGACAAAAAGAAGAAGAAGAAAATGAAAGTGCTGGGATGAAAATGCCCCGGAAGCACCGGTGACTGAACTCTGAAATGCGAGATTTCAAGCTCTGGGGACGATAGTCTTAATGAAACCTATATACCATGCTGTTTACCTTCGGTGTTTTTGCTTTAGGGCTGTTTGTCAAATGCTATACAGAGATACGTTCGATCGAATTTGATGGAGACCCGCTCAGCACTGTCACCGTCACTCAGGGTAGGGCAGAGCATATGTTCATCTGATGTCCTTCCTTAAGGACGGTCCAAACCTTGCAGACTGTAGACAGCGCCGGGAAAGAATACAACCACATGAAAATGGACCATAAGCAAGAGAGTGTGGCTCGCCACACACTCCCTCTTTAGCTCTCTATACATTAACAGCAGCCCTGGCCCAGTACTCATACCAGTGAGAGTGCGCACCAAGGAGAATACCCATTCAAGCAATCAAAGCCAGGAACAAAGCGAAGCAATGAATTAATTGCATTGATATCCGATCTGACGGCGACAAGAAGGCGGTGAGCGCGGAGGAAGGAAGTTCAATGCGGGGGGCAGAAAGAACATTCCAGTCTCAGTGGCCGTGGCAGCGTCACATCCATCTGTCCTCCCCCAAACCCTCAATTGAACCATCACATTCAGGGGTTTGCGACTTCTTCTTATATACTTGCCATGCCCTAGCCTCACTCTACGTTCTACACACCTTTTCTGTATATTTCTCCACATTGCTTCTTATAAATATCACGATACCTACCTTACTTGTACCGAGACGGTACTAGTACCAACAACTACCAACGAACTTAGCCTAGGCTGGCACTCCGCGGCATCAACCACGCCTATTTCGGCCGCCCTAAAAAGCAAGCTGATAACCATCCCGAGTCATCATCGCTACCAACCAGAACCCCTCCACCTTTTCCCACCTTTTCTCCCTCCGCTGCCCTTCCTTTACCTCTCCTTACCCTACCACCCCCAAGGGACCCAGAACGAGAACCATGTCCTCCGAACCGGCCACGTCTCAACCTAATGGCACCTGCGCAAGCGCAGCCGCCGCACCCCACACTCCTACCGCATCATACCCCGCCGCCGCCGATGATGCCGAACAGCAGGCGACAACAGAAGCCACCAACATCCCCCTCAAGATCGACGCTACTACTAGCAAAGACAATGCCAACGATGACGAAACCAATACCGCACCCCCACCACTAACGACCACGATCGCCGCCCTCCACGACCAGATCCAGCGCTTCCTCTCCGAATCTCACCCCGCGGGCTCCCTCCTCGCCGCCGTGCAGAAGCAAACGCGCGTGACCCTGGACGTCTTCGCCGCGGCCCTGGACAGTTTCCCCCTCGAGAACCTCTCCCTCTCCTACAACGGCGGCAAGGATTGTCTGGTGATGCTCGTGTTGTTTCTCGCGAGTCTCCACAACCTACCGACGACGACGACGACGACGACGACGAGGCAACAACACCACCAACAAGCTCACCAAGAACAACAACAACAACAACAGACACAAACAACACAACCACAACCACAACCACAACCACAATCCCAAACTCAACCCGACGCACAACCCCAAACACAGCCACAAAACCCGACGACGACGACAGGCACTAAGTCTCTAACCTCCATCCCCGCCATCTACGCCCTCCCGCCCGACCCCTTCCCCGAAGTGGAGGAGTTCGTCGCCTGGTCCGCCCGCCACTACCACCTCGACATCGTCAAGTACACCACCGACCCGCCGCGCGCCACCATCCGCTCCGTCTTCGCCGACTACCTAGCCCAGCACCCGGCCGTCCGCGCCATCTTCGTCGGCACCCGCCGCACCGACCCCCACGGCGCCCGCCTGACCCACCAGGACTACACTGACAGCGGCTGGCCCCAGTTCCTGCGCTACCACCCCGTCATCGAGTGGCATTACACCGAGATCTGGGCCTTCATCCGCCACCTGGGCCTGCATTACTGCTCCCTCTACGATCAGGGGTACACCAGTCTGGGTGGCACCGCCGATACGCGCCCCAACCCTAAGCTGCTGCGCCCGGGGGCCGAGGCCGAGGCCGGCGCGGATCAGTCGCGGTATCGTCCGGCGTATGAGTTGACCGAGGATTTGGAGGAGAGATTGGGCCGCAATTGACGTCTGCATGGCATCTGTCGTTTGCGTGCCTCGGGCACCCGTAGTCGATCGGTTCAGCGTGCATTGAGATAGGGGCGCGGTGGGACAGATTGCCCGCCGTCCCTTTTTTGAACCTCATGGCATTGTTAAGGTTATCAACGACATGACTTCGAGGGTAGATGGCTCGCCTCCTTGATTCTTCAAGTTGATAGACATTAGCACTAGCAGTGCTGGTTGCTCCGTGCAGGAGGACTTGGGTTTCGCAGTATCATTATCACTATTATTCCCAGCCTGTAGACTGCGTTGATAGTTTTATGGAGTCGAAAGGAGTAACCATGATTAGACACAAACAGGAATGCCACCTTTCCACTCAATTCCATCGCTTCATGATCCTTTCACCTTTCTTTCCGTGAGTACCAGAATGGCCAGGTTGTAAGAGATACAAACTCCTAAATCAGACATGATTCTGCTGAACATACAATTGTGGCTGTCGTCAAGAAATGAAGAACAAATAACACGCAAACGGCAAAAGCTCAAGAAGACGAACAAAAGCAATGCAGCAAACATTAAGGTGATATGACATCTGAAATGGATGAGGCAGTCGAGACCTGTATCAGTCATCCATCTCCGTGGTTAACATGTGGACCTCTACACATGCAGTTAGAAAGGCGATCCTTCTCAAAGGGCATGGCGCATAGCAGTGCAGCCTCTCATGTCCTCTGGCCGGTTGTCCGCCACTGAAGATAGGGAAAAATTCGGAATTCTGAACAAAAAGAGGAAAGCGAGAAGTAGAAGCAAGCGCACGTTGCATGAGGAAGCAAACGTATTGGGCACGGTTGACGTTCAAGGCTCAGATGACCGAGCGGGGTGAAGTCACGATAACCTCCTTGCGTGCTGAAATTGGAGACACGGAACCAGCTTTGACGTTGCTCTTGCGAGGACTAGACTGCTCGGAGCGAGTCTCAACACAAGGAGTTGCTGGGAAGTTCATTTTTGCAGAGACATTGTCAGTCCAGGCATTGCGTTGCCCTCGACCGAGAGGTGTGTTCTCCAAGGCTCTTGGCCCGCCTTTGGATGACCAAGAGTTGAAGCGCACGTTCCCCGCCTGGCTCTTCATTAGGGGATACCTGCTTGTATCGTCAGCATGCCTTGGGAGGGAACGGACACATTCAGTAACGTACGATGGGGAGATGGATGTCGCAGGAGTCCAGGTTGATCCCACACCGACTGGAGAGGCGTAGCTGGCCTGCGAGTTGGGGCTGATATGCGACACTCCCTGTTGAATACGGTGCAATGAAGGCGATGGGGTAGATCCTTGAACGACCTCAACCGAGTAGTTATACTCCCCAGCACGGTATGCGCGTCTCTCGTTGCTTTGCTGCTTGAGAAGCTTCTGGGCCTTCGTATCCGCAAAACGAAGAAGCAACTTGACTCCATCCTTGGAGACGACGTTATGGAACTCTCCCAGCACCTTCTCTGCAATGTCACGCGTTTCAAAACTATGGCAAAAAGTCAATCACGATTCGAGGCTCACGCCGCCGTTTCGAAACACTAACCGAGCAAAGCCAACCTCCTTGCTCACTCCGGTTTTCTCATCGCGGCTGATTTTTTCCGAGACCACACGATATGGCTCGAAGTGACGACGAAGATCCTATGATAAAGTTAAATTAGTACAAGCTTTCTTTCTTCGGGCACAAGCATGCTCACAGCCTCTGTCCACTCAATCGGAAGGTTTGTGCAGTAGATGTTGGTCGAAGACTTATCCTCCAGATCTTTGAGCCTAGAGTTGCGGGATTTCTAGGAGAATATAAGTGATCAGATAGCAAATCTTTTGGAGAGACGACAGCACACCTGGGCGAAACTGGCCTGATAGCCAAGGTAGAAGAAACCGCGGATGCAGTTCTCGCAGGACTCGAAGTTGTAGTATTGGACGAATCCAAATCTGGAACACTGTTAGAGAGAATATCAGGACGAGAACACAGACAAACCCTTTGCAGAGGCCCGTGTCCAAGTCAACAATAGCTTTGCAGCGATCTATTTTCCCGAAGCGGGAAGCATAAGCATGCAACATATCATCAGTCGTCTCCGGAAGAAAGCCTCGAATGTAGACATTGGTGATCCCCTCTCGATTCTCGAGACACTTAGCAAGAGTGAGATCAGATGGGTTGGTCCACATGGCGGGCACCGCTCGTGGAATGAGTGGGTCTTGCTGCGTCAAACTCTCGAGATCCTGGAGAATATAGCCCGTCGGAGTCTTCATCATCTGGAGAGGTAGACATGTCCCACTGGGCTGAGGCAGGCCATTGAATCCAAAGTTCGACAAGCCAGGTCCTTCCAGGCCAGCATTTGGGTTGTGGAAGTAGTCGCTTGGGGAAGTCGGCACCACCGGACAAGGCGGGGCCAAGCCGGAGTAGAGGCCATGTGCAGGTACATACGGGCCCTGGTCAAGAGGCAGTCCGCTGAAGATAGTGCCATTCGGCAGAAGAACAAATTGATTGTAGGGGGGCATTGCCATTGGCATGTTATTCTTGACACCGCTGTACTTCGGTCCGGGCCTCTGGTTGTGATATCCCAGTCCACCGAAGAGAGAAGGCAAGCCATGAGGATCAGGCATCTGATTGGAATCAGAGACAGGAGGATGCATAGTAGCCGCCATCGGTAAGTTGACTTCTATCAGAGTATTAGCCATGGCCCGTTGGTTGGGAGAAAAGGGCAAATAGAAAAGAAGCACGAGTACTCACGATGATGGGTAAAACAGCTCAGGAAATTTGGCGAGACAAAATCTAAGACCCCCTGTGAGCGATTGCAGCCGGCTTGCGGAGCAGAAGAAGTAGAGTTGAGACTTACACGGTAAATGGGATGGTAAGGAAGAAGATGTCGGACGTGAAGGCAATGAATGACTGCTAGCAGAGGAGGAATTGGTGGGGGTCTTGGAAGAGGAGTAGGAGGAAGAGGAAAAGGACAAGGTCGCGGGAGTCAAGTTGGGAGACATTGGAGGAGAGAGCAAGAAAGAGGGCAGAATGGGAGGAGTTGGCTGTTGCTGTTGCACTTGCTGTTGCAGGAGGAGGAAAGAACGCCTCAGGACTCTATCGCAGTCACCGGCACCTTCCCTGCCTTTGCTTTCAGGGGAAGGAAGAACCGTAGCAGGAGGAGGAGTCCCAATCTCGTCAGTGACCTGCGATTTCCGAGGAGTTACGGCTCCTGCCTTTCTGATCAAATCAATTTCCTCGTCAATCGGCCAACCACCATCACGCCAGGGAGGTAAAGTCATGACTGCAGTCCAGCTAACACAGGCAGATAGATAGACTACCACGGGAATTGCTTAGCTGAGTGTTGCGAGAATGGGAGTAGAGAGGGGAGGGGGAGAGAGAGAGACAGAGAGAGAGAGAGAGAGACAGAGAGAGAGAGAGAGAGAGACAGAGAGAGAGAGAGAGAGAGACAGAGAGAGAGAGAGAGAGAGACAGAGAGAGAGAGAGGGGGTGTGTGCGTGTGTACTGAGGAGAGGGAGTGAGGAGAGTTGAGTTGGTTGCAGTGGAGACCAAGGACTTAATGAGAGATAGATTTTGCTCCTCCTACGACATGCTCACTGATGGACCCCATAATTCTGCGCCCTACACACGTCTACTCATTTAGGCCTTTTGTGGAAAAGACAAGGCATTATAAGCGCTGCTCAAGTGATGTTCTTTTGATTGGCACGGTACGACAGAATGATGAGTATACATGGCGGACACCCTTCACTTTAGTCAGAAGCTGATCATATTATGACATCTATACAGCATGGTGGAAGTAGGTAAACAATCGTCCATTTCTGAGTCACGAAGTAGTTGATGTCAGGATGCGGAAATTGTACCCGTGATCACGGATTAAATGTCATCCAAATCTCTCGAGCTTCTAGTGCAGTCGCCGTAAAGCCTCTATCATAACCTTAACTTCGCCAACATCCGTCGCGCCCACGGACCTGACGATCTCATCCTGTACACTTGGTTCGCAGGTCAAAAACCGTTCTATTAATTCACCGTCCACAAAACGATACGGTTCTTTGGCTTCGCGCACCATGCTGCGGAACCCACGGAACTCATTAAATGGGATGTTACCCAGAGACTCGACTTTACCTGCCATGGTGGCTTGCAAGCGCATCAGGAAGTCCTGGTGTTGTGGGTTGATCGCAGCAAATAGGTAGATTGAGCCCTCGACCTGTTGTAGAGCAGTCAGAAGTCTGCACAATAATTAGGGTGATATCAAAAGAACAGGATGACATACCGTGCCCAAGAACGCTCGGGGAGTGACAGTTACACTCGCCAGTTGTTGTATGTGGACCGGCCGGATTCGATTGACCATCTCCCCTAGCGAGATCTCACCGGTGACCTCCAATCTGCGCTTGTCGTCCTCCTCGACACCGGTCCGATTGCGGCGAAGCACAATCAAGTTACCCTCGGCGTCACTCTCCAGAAAAGTGTCCTCCGCGATGCAGGCGACACCTGTGGCCCAGACCGTCTGGAAGTGGCGAGCTACCTCTGTCAAAGTGTCGGGGAGACCATCTTCACCTTCCTTCCATTCTACCAAGCAGACACTCTTCATCAGATCTGCGACAGCGATCACGTTGCCTGTCACCGTTACATCCACAGGCGCAGTAGAGGTCCTGTAACTGGCTAATTTCTCCAGCTTCATCGCCCCAAAATTGTTGTTGACCACTTTATAGACCACGACCTACTGATTGTTAGTACGCGGGGAAAAGATCGCTCACAAGTGTCGCTGGAGAACTTACAGTCTTGACGAGAGCCGCTACAATCTTCTCACCTAGCATGGCCAATGCACGACAGGCACCTTTCACAGGCAGTTCGGCTACCTTGGCCAGTTTCCGACCATTGTCAACCTCGAAGACCAAGATCCGACCTCGAATCGACTCTTCTCCCTCATCGTCCAGGTACGCTGTGCCAACGACGAAGCGATCCTTGATCACCTCCCGACCATTTTCATCTTTACCGGCTGAGAACTCGGCACGGACAACGCTCTCCACTAACTCCTCGGGTTGAAAGTCAAAGGAATCGAGGCGTCGGAACAGAATCTCATCCGCAAGGACAAACCTGCTTTGAACCTGCTCTTCGCCGTCTTTCAGTTTGCGCTCGATGGTGCCAATGCCAAAAGCTTTCTCCGAAGGTGTATAAGCTACTCTGCGGGCAGTTGCGCCCACTGGAAGGGTCTGGATCTGCGTTGTTCTCTCCGTGTCCACCAGAGCGATCTTCAGATCGTGGCGCGTGGCAACAGCGATAGCTTCGGGATATGCCTCGGAGTTGAAGTGGCAGATGCGAGAAGCGCCCTCAGAATTCACAGCGGAATAGATAATGCGACCTTCAGAACCATATATAAGGCTAGGGTTCTCACAAGTTGCAAAAACATTGTAGAGTCCATCCCCTCTCGGGAGCTTCTTGAAGGTCGGCTGCTCAGAGCCAAGGATGAGTTTGTTCATGCCTGACAAAGAGTAGTCTTTGGTATCAAATGAATAGGTGATGACACTACCATCTGCCATCGAAATGAAAAGAGTAGATGGATTGTTAATGAGGACATCCGCCACAAGGACAGAGCGAGGAAAAGCCTCGCCTGCAGGGCCCAACGATAACGTGTGGAGGTCACTCAAGTCTTCCAGCTTCAAAACCGAGACCTTGGCCAACTGGGGGAATGCGACGATACAGGCATCAGTGGGACACGAAGGGATTGTGACGCCAGAGATTTGACTGTCGGCGCCGAAGTCTTTCTGCGTCACTACCTGGGGTTCATTTTTGAGTGCTAGAACGGTCACGAGTTCGCCGCCACCAACAAGGACCATACATTCATCGTTGGCCGAAGCAGCAGTGATTACCAGCTGGTTAGGTGGTGTCCACTCGTATGTGACCATGCCACTCTCAAAATCGGCGATCAGGACTCTTTGTTCGGTGACCTGTAATATCCGGCCACCAGGTAGATTGGCGGCGAGAAGTGTGTTCTCCGAGAGACTCAGCCCAAGGAAGCCATTGAGTTCCTCCACCTCACCCTCCGGAGTAAACTGGAAAACTCGTGTTTCATCCACAAAGGTCACAAGGAGGGTATCAAGGAATCCACCCCGGGCGGCTACTCGCAAACCCCACAGATCGGTGATGTGTTCCATCTCACCCAGCACACCCAACTCCTCCATGCCGACGCCGCTTCGCACGCTTCTGAGAGTCCCGTCGTCGAAGGCACCTGAACCAGTGACGATGCGGGCTTGTCCTGAAGAGAATTCGTGCGTTTGACTCTCGTTGGTACGGTTCCCAAGGTCCATAATCGTGAAGTCAAGGATCGGTGCCACATTGGAGAGCGTCTGAATTACCTCGAATGACCCATTTCCGATCCGAAGTACTTGTGAATCACCTTGGTGGGAGCCGACAAAAATGATTCCAGCCCCAAGGTACACTAAAACGGATGCCCGTGATGTGTTCCCTAAGTGATCCAACTTCCAAGACTGGACCTGATTGTTGGAATCCAGAACCAACATGAGGAGAAACAATCTTCCGTAATCATCAGCTAGCAGCCAGCGCTGACTATCCACACGCTCCCATGCCACAAATACAGTAGCCTCATCTAAAGGACGAGACACAATCTCGTTGCTGTCCGTATCGACATATTTGATAGACGTCTCTCCCAGGACAAGAAGACCGCCTAGTTTGATCAGTCACAGATCCTTTTAAGGCATGAAAGGGTGGGGGGGTCACAAACCCAAAGGAGCGGGCACTGGTATAAGATGAGAGGCCCCAAGGTCGAGTTCCTCGGAAAAGCCGTCTAGCAGCTCCTCAAACGAAGCATCCGCGCTCACAGTAGCGGTAGCCGCGCTGTAGTGCAACTCCCGAACCTTGAGTCTCACTTTCTTCTGGTTATCCTCATAAAGCAGCGCAATCCGGGGCAACCCCGACTGGACGTGCAAAAATGCCGAGGAGCGCACGAACAGCTCGTCGATTCGGGTCGTTGTCGGCTCGCCAAGCTCACCAATGCGGGGTGCATCCGGCCCTGAAGGCAAGGTAACCTGTCTTCCTCTCCTCTTGCTGGGCAACTGCACGATGGGAATGACCGCAATGACACCCTCATAAACTTCGAGCGTCATGAATCGGCCACTCGGATCGATCAAGCAACGATTGCCCGTTTGAGCCTCCCGCGAAGACGGGTCAGCGACATCCACATAGTTCCTCTCTGTGCGCACTTGATTCCGCGTACTATCCCACGATAGTGTGCAGTAGGTGTAGCGGTCTGTACCCACAACGAGGTGGTCGGTGGTAGAGTCGGCGGGAGCCGGAAGTCGGGCCAGCATCGTGACTCTGGCGAAGAGAGAGCACGAAGCGGCGAGGCTCAATCCATCGGGAGTGGGATTGTAGAACTCGAGTCGGTTCGCCTTCCTGTCGGGAAATGAAAGAAAACTGTTAACCGCTGAACCGCAACGCAAAGGCCCGTCTGAATTGGAGAAGCAGGGGCAACCAACGCGACAACCAGAACCTCCTCCTCCGGTTTCATGAACTGCAGCGTCAGCGCATGTCGTATGCTGCTTGCCCGGTGGATTGGCACAACGTAGGCCATCCTGGCGGTGGCACTAATAGCTGGTTGCGCTTTTCGCTGTGGGGACTACTGCGGGGATATGATAACGAGACGACAAGCGACGGGCGCCCCGGGACAATGTGAGAACGCAAGCGAACGTGGTGGTTAGGTCGGCGCTCTCAAAACTGTAAAAGTAATTGCATAGCTTTCCTGCGAGCCGAACTATTCAAATGCGGATGGGGTGGGATTGCCAAAGGCCAAGAGGCTGGAATGGTAGGATTAATGATAGTGAAATGACGATGGTCGCGGCGGGTTCCTCCCGCTCAGCAGAAGATGGCTAGCCTCTAACTCCGTGTTATGCCCGAAGATCGGTGCTACTGTATCTTCACCTCTCTTTCACGTCAACCAGCCGAATCAAGACAACGTCCTCTCTACTAGGGCAAATCATCTAATATAGTACACTCGGCTTCTTCATTCATACACGTCTACACTCCAAATCTTTCCATATGAGACGACGAATAGCAGTTAGTTTGATAATGTCACGAACGCGGAAATCACGGAACCTGTGAGGTTGTCTCGAACTCAAAATAATATACAGTAACAGATGCTTCTCAGATTTGTGTAATCATGGGTCTTTATATAGCATTCTTGTGAATCATTTGAAGGTAGGGGGAAGCTATCATCATGATCTATCCTGGTTCCCTGCAAAAGTCGATGACCGAAACTCGGCCGACACACCACACCAATAACTCTGCAGAACCAATCAATGCCGCAGAGAAGAACCAAACACTAGGCATACATGAGCCACGCCAAGCAACAGACCAAGAAATGCGGCGAATTTTATATGCAAAGATCATCTAGACATGAAAAAGAACGAATCAAAAAGTCGTATCGAAAGAAAGGATCACTATCACCTATGCACACCGAAAGGAATCATGACCACACATCTTCCTGGTAGCTACCACTGCTGCGCATGTGCTTAACCATCTCTTCGCCCTTTTCGGCAGGAAGACCGCGCTGCTTGGCGATGATTTGGCCAAGTACAAGGTTAACCTCACGCGCCATGTTCGCAGCGTCACCACAGACATAGAAGGTTGCCTTCTGCTTGAGAAGGTCGCTGACGAGTTCGGCATGCTCGCTCAAGCGATGCTGAACATACACCTTCTGTGAAGATTCGCGAGAAAACGCAGTGATGATCTTCAGCGAGTCACCAAGCTGTTCTTGGTAAATCTATAGGAATTATTTGGTGAGTCTCAAGTGCATACTAAAAAGAGGTCAGGAGAGCCAGAACATACCTTCCATTCATCCTGATACATGAAATCCTCGTTGCGGTTGCGGCAGCCAAAGAACAAGACTGTCGGTCCAACCTTCTCGCCCCTGGCAGCCAGAGCAGCTCGTTCCTGAATGAATGCACGGAAAGGAGCAACACCAGTACCAGGCCCGACCATGATGACAGGCCGAGAAGGATCAGAGGGCAGCTTGAAGTTCGAGTGACGAACATGGACAGGGACGTGGATACCATCATACTTGTTGCGCGGACCGTTGATCTCGTAGGTCAGTCCGTGAGGGTCGGGAGAAGGATCGCCATTTTGCTTTTGCTTGAGGGCAAGGAGATAATTCGTCGTCACACCCTTGACAACATGAGAGGCGCCAGGCAGACGAACCGACTCCACAACCGCAGTGACACTGATCTTATCTTTTTGCGCAAGGGAGGACGAGGAGATAGAGTAGTAGCGAGGCTGCAGCTTGGTGAGGCCCTCAATGAGTAGAGAGAAAGGCACGGCGGAGAACGGCTTGGAGGTGATGCTTTGCAGAGCCTGGGCGATGTTGAAGCACTGGTTCGAAATCTTCTCATGGAAATAGTCCTTGTCGCTACCGAGACGAACGATTTCCGCCTTGCTCTCCTCATCGGGAGCAAAGGCGGCGAGAGACGAGACGAATTGACGAGAGACGGGGGCACAGACTTCCAAATAGTAGCGAACAGCGGCATCGTACGTGGTAGGGGTGGGGATCGGGACCTTGGCGGTCACATCAATGCCCTTGATGTTGATAACCGTGTGTCTCTTTCCTTCGAAGCCGAAAACTTGGAGGAACCGATCAGCTTCCGCACCAGCATTGGTTGGCCAGATAGCGATGTGATCGCCGGTTTGGTATGACAAGTTGCTTCCAGCAATACTGATTTCCATGTGCAGACAGTTACGATCCTTGACAGTGAAAAGTTCACGAGACTCGACAATCGGGGCAATGTAAGGGTTGTGGGCAGAGAAAGGGCCTTTCGGGCTGCCTTCGAGATGACCTTTGGTGGCCTCACCAAGGTAAACAGAATCGTCCTCAGGGCTCAGAGAATCATCTTCGGTGACAGAGAAGACGGGCTCATACTCCGCCTCCCGCTCCTCCAGGCCAATGGCTTCAGACAGCGCCGCCCACATGGGCTCCTTCCAGGCCAAAAAGTCTTCTTCCATGGTACCTGCGCCGTCATCACCCTCACCGGCAGTGCCAATCCGCTGAGCTCCGAGTTTTTGGAAAGCGGTGTCCACGTTGCGGACCATCGAATTATAGTGCTCGTAAGTGTTGTTACCCAGGCCGAACGCAACATACTTGAGGGAGGAAAGCGGCTTGTCCTCGGCAGAAGCGCCGCTCTCAAAAGCGATGTCCTCGCCGGTGAGGAACTGGTAGAACTCCACAGCGTTGTCGGTGGGTTCACCTTCACCGTACGTGGCCAAAACGAAAAACGCAACCTTATCGTCGGGGAACTGGTCCAGGTTCTCATAGTCATAATCCTCAAGATCAGCGACCATGGTCTTGAGCCCGAAGCGCTGAGATCCTTCCTTTGCCAATCGAGAGGCATAATCCTCTGCGGTTCCAGTCTGCGATCCATAGAAAATCACACAGTTCTTGCCAGTTTCTTCCAGCTTCTCGACGATGTTTCTGGATTTGCCGGCCTTGGCGGCACCATTCAGGGCGGGACCTGTAGAGGCATAGGGGTCTTTGGCAACAGCCCAGTAGGTGCCCTTGGTGAAGTAGGCTACGCTACCCACCAAAAGCACTGCCAAGACTACCAAATCGAGGGTGTCGAGTTGCGCCATGATGACGGGGAGGGTCTGTGGGCGATGCGAGAGCAATAGCCCCGGGGTTAATGTTCAGACTGGATAAGCCTGGCAGGAAGCGCAGACTGACTCGAGCGGAGAGACGGGAGGGCGCAAAGAAGGGAGGGGGGGGGGGGGGGGGGGGGGGGGGGGGGGGGGGGGGGGGGGGGGGGGGGGGGGAGTAAACGGAAGAAAACCGAAAGGTCCCTCAGGCTGTATCGAGTCCGGGCAGCGATCACCAAAGGAAGAATTCCAAGCAGGTGGCGTGCTCCAAGGAGGACTCCGGGGGGAGAGTACAAATATGGAATGGAAATATAGAAGGAAAGAAGAAGAAGAACGGAAAGGGAGAAGGAAGAAGACCAGGGCCAAGACCCGAGGAGGGTAAGATGAGGGAACCGTGGTCTGATCTAGGGAAAGACGAAATGCCGATAATCAGTTGGCCTCAGTCACAAGCAGCAAGCACAACAGACCGCCGGCGCATCAGAGAACAGCGAGGAGACGGAGGGGCGCCGAGAACCGGGCGGGAACTGTTGAGGGACGATCGATACTGGTAGAAACTGGGTCAACGACTCAAACTCGACAAACAGTGGAGTCCTGTCTGTGCCTCAGGCGAAAGTGGTGTCCTATTCGGGGGTCCGGTGCTTCGGAACTCGGACGGCTGGTGGGTTCAACCGTGCCGCTAATCTATCCTTGGCAACTGAATTGTTGCAAACTGCCTGCAGTCTTGCACTGTGCAGTCGCCGGACTCCGATGATCAGACTTCGACTGCAATTGAACTCGGACGTCTTTCAGTTTCAGGATGTCTCGCTTGGTTTTCTGGAGTTCTGGGGTTCTGGAATGAAATAAGATCGAGCTTCTGTTAAAGTCCGCAGTAATGTGGTGATTGTCCTCAAGTTGATTGGGTCGAGCTGGCAAGTCACCTCGAGGTCCTAGGGGTGATCTTAAAAATTGGGCCTGTTCTACGAAATATATACCCTTCCTGATAATGTGAAGGTGTGGGTGTACCCCATGGGCCGACACTTGGACCGAAATACAGTTTGGTTCGGAAGGAGAATTCGGCCCTGGTATGAGCCTATAGCCATCCCAGAAACCCAGGTGGCGGTCGCCTCAAGACCAGAAATGAATGTGAAAGGCGCCAAACAATCTGGGGGATCTCCCGAACGACGCTGCCGACCCCCAGGCCAACTAGCCGAGTTCCGCCTTTGTGGCAGTTTCTTTGCGTGGGTAACTTGGCATAGAGCAGCACATGCTCACTTTCGTATGCATAAATTGTATACAGAACTAAACCAACCGTCCTAGGCATTTGCGTATTGTACTGTATGTCTCGTGCACGAGGGATCTGGCTGGTTCTGACTACGGTTGTGTCACTTGGAGCATCCCCGTACAACCACCGATGTAACTGTGCTTTAGACTGCTGCTTGATCCGCGTGCCCCCGAGGCTTATTGACGTTTCCGCGCCGCGGTATTTCCAGACGCCAGTGCCGTTTCCCGATCAGCCTCATCACGATGGACGGATTCATTCCGCAATACCCTGAACTGTACATTGTGGTAGGGAAATCCGCAACAGCGCATCATTCTTCTAGAGGGTTCTATCGCAGTGTGCAAGTTGAAAGGAAACTTGTCCGCCATGCACCGGTTCATATTGTAGCAGTAGGAGATCGCTAACAGGTCAGGTCTCGCGTCAGCGGTCGAAATCTCTCGTAAGACTGCTCGTCGTTGCCGGAGCCATGACAGCGATGGTTGGTATCTTATAGTGCGCACCACTGAAGGGCTGTCTGGACCATGAAAGGTTTCAAGTTGTTGGGTTTCTTCTATCGTCCATGTTCAGCCTATTCTCACTAGCGCTAATGCCGTCATTATCACGACCCTGGTCTGGTCCAGTGAAGATAATTCCAAGACTCTGTAGAGTTGCCACAATAATCATCTGAAGTTTGAGATGATTACCTCTATTGGTGAGGCTATGCATTCAGGCCCAGGCGGTCGCATTCGCCGCCCCCTTGATGTACTCAACGAAGGATACCTTGCATTCGTGCGTGTCGTGTTTCACTTTCTCAAGTTGATCGCTTGGACGAGACCGGGTCTCCCGGAAACTAATAGCAGAGCAATAAATGTTTGTATGCACAATTTTCACGGATACTCAAGCTTATTTGAGCATGATCCTCGATACCCGGTACCTCTTGCTTTTGGACAGACGCTTGAGGCTCCCGTGAAGAACAGAGAATATACGAGGATATTAAATGATAACAAAAGAATTCTATCTCTCGCATGATATATCTTATTTCAATTATGTGATTTGATACCGTAGCCTGTATGGGGTAGAGTAATTCAAAAGGTAACTTAGGTACTAGGTAAAATATTGCCGACTCGATGTTGGGAGAACAGAAAGAGAGAGGATAGCAGTGACGTTCCCTCTCCTAAAGGTCCTCCGCACTGTTACCCATCTTCCCCGTGCTCCGAGCCTCTTTCGGTCGCGAACGAACCGGTCTTTCCAGCAACAAAGCTTCAGTGATTCCCAAACTTATGCATCAACAACCGTTATCTCTTTTTCCAGCTGACAACCTCTAAGCAGCAGAGTAACAATGCACTGCTTGCTCAATCTTTTGGGTTGTTCCGCTCTGACAGAGAAGAGCATTACTCAGAAATGAATTCAGCCTGACTTCCAAACCACCACCAGTACAACAGTACGTGATCCTGCCTGACCAAAATGCATTCTTGTGTCTAATAGCACTGCCGCTCTGCACACCAAATCTCATTCTATCGCTCCCTCCTATCCTATCACAGGCTCGAGATGATAGCTCGGTGCTAATCTGCTTCTTTCGCTAGTGGCCTCACATCCGTCGATTAAGGCTGGTCCGTTGCAGTCAACGCCAATGCCCCTCATCCCTGACGATTCGAACCATGTGTCGCACCATATCTTTTCAGCTCCACCAGAACGTCTCGTCACGAGAAGCACCCCATCGTCCACTGTTCACAGCCGCGAAACGTCTACGGTGAGGGGACTTGACTCTGCTTCCTTGTCCTCTTCGAGTCTACAGCCTCAGAACAACCGCCGTGGTGCCTCCCATTCTAAAAGTCCCGAGCCAATCGCTGGGCGACCCGGTTTCGGATATGATGGTGGTCTCGAGAGGAGGCCGTCAAATTCCTATGGTCACCACCGTCAAACCTCGATTGTGCACGGGATCCAGCACTCCCGCAACCCGAGTTTTGCTGCCTCAACAGCATCCAGCAGTCCGCTGAGTTCCGAACTGATCGTATCCCTGGGTCGAAGTGGCGCGGTCGAGCCGGAAGGTACAGGGTCAGGCCGACCAGAACAGCCCAGTATGCATTCAACCTTCCAATACCAGGGCAGCAACGGGGTAAGCGCTCATATACAGGGAACACTGGGCACAATAGACGATCGAGATGGGGACGATGTCGTCAGCGGCAGTCTGGCCGTTGTGACGCATAAACGCATGAACTCCAATGGAAATGGAAAGCCCAAACCGGAACGATCCCATAGCCGTTCACACTCGAGACCTCATCCTGATATAAAATCTACAGAGGAATATGCACTTCATCACCTTTTCAATGCTGTAAGTCAATCCACCTTTCCGTGAGTTAGACAAGCGTTGACCCTTGTTGAAGTTTATTGGACAAGCCGAACACAAGATCAACCAGGCTATCATGAAACTTGGTGAATCTGACGCTCCAGTCGAAGAGGTATGCGGGCCGGGTGCAGACGCAAGCTTCGACCAATTGATATCAGCTCTGGGTTACATTGCACGACGGAATCCGAAGCCCCTGATTGACACCATCATGTACTGGAGGAAAGCGATAGGCGATGCGGCTATTGTGGCGAAACAGGTTGCTGGTCAGGTAAGTTTCAAGTGTCTCGCGGTCCCCTCAGATCACCTCTTGCTAATTGCCTGATTATCAGCCCAAGCCATCTGCTGCTGATAACGGGCTTCTCATCCGGCGCAACACGGAGCCACCTCAGATTATTACTGAGTCAGCTACACCGTCCGACTCAAATTCCCCTCCCCGGACGCTGTTGTCTAGGCACGACGAAGTCATCATGGCAGAGCGGCGAGCGACAGTGTCGGTCTACCTGGTTTGCAGAATTCTGATCGAGATCTTCAATCAAAGTAGCCTTGCCTCAATAACTTTAGACATGGTGGATCGCCTGGAGGACATTGTCTTCGGTCAGTTGAAGGCCGTTGATCCTGATCAGATATCGGCGTCATCTCTTCGCATGGCCAATTGGAGAATTTACTCGCAGCTGCTTGGTATCATGAGCGAGACCAGCTTTGCGGGCGTTGCAAACAGATTTTTGCAGGAGCTGGATAAATATCAAAAGGACGAAACACTACGCGGGCCTTCGAAAGAAGGCGATGCCAAGGCCGAGCTTCTGATCTTGGGGATGAGGCACGTTCGTATCAGAACACATCCTGAGATCTGGGGTAAATGCTGTGAATTCATGCTGTCACTTGCGCGCTTGTTCGCGAACGCTCACGGACCGCGCGTCAAGCAGGCATACTGCTATATACTCGAAAAGCTACTACTTCCAGTAGCAGCAAGCACTACCTGTGACCTTACCCTCCCTAAATGGAAGGAGTTCATTGACTTGGTTCAGTCTCGTCTATCGCCGATGATGACGAAGCCACGTCATTGGGCTGCAGCATTCCCCCTCCACGTGCTCTTACTATGCGTTTCAACTAAAGAGAACTTTTCTTCACAATGGCTTTCGGTGATACAGAGCCTCCCATCGAGGCTAAAAGATCGTCCTACACGGGGAATAGCTCTTCAGGCAATGTGCCGCCTGCTTTGGACATTCTTCTTTCGTTACTCGGAGTCACCAACGGCCACTCTGCGTAAAGTCGAAGAAGTGGCCAGAATAGCCTTACCTCCAGGGAAAAGGACGTATCTGAGTACGGAGCCAGCAGTCTCAGACCCTCTGGTTCAGTTGGTACGGATGATCGGGTTCAAGCACCCTGATGTGTGCTTCCGTAGCATCATCTTCCCTATGATCAACTCGGACCTCTTTCTTTCAGGTAAAGAGCTCAAAATTGAGCAGATGGAGCCTGAGAAAATGGTCATTGGCATCAGGACATTCCTTGCCATCATGACAGACCTAGAGAATTGCGATCAACTATGCCCCCCGTTCCCCACGGGATCAATTCCCAATCCCTTCACCGACATCTCTGCTCCAACTCATTTCCATCGCCCACATTTGCTTGCTGACCCTCGACCACCCAATGCATCGGAGAATCGGGATAGCTCCTTGTCGCGACCTGTCAACACGGCAAGACTTAGTGACAATGTCAGAGAATACTACCTTCGCTTCTGTGATATTCTTGGCAAGATTACCATTCTATGCGACAACACATTCGGTGGCCAAGCGGCTCTGGATGAAAAGTTCGGAGGCACGACACCCAAGACTCCAATTTCGGAAGCTTTCAGCTTTGGTCGACGAGATGATCACCTTACCACCCTAGATCAAAAACAAGGGTTCTATGACCTACTTCATGTTGCTGTGCAGGCGCTACCTCGGTGTCTATCTGACCGCATTCCCTTCAATTCCTTGATCAATCTGCTTTGCACCGGCACGGCACACGTTCAGTCGAACATAGCCGTCTCGTCTGCCGAATCGTTGAAAGCCATCGCGCGTCAGTCCCACGCCCAGCAGGTCACGATCGGCTTCGCCAGGTTCATCTTTAACTTCGATGCCAGATACTCGACCATGTCCGATGAAGGCATGCTAGGACCAGGTCATATCGAATCTACGCTGAGGCTCTATGTCGAGTTGCTGAGAATTTGGATCGAGGAGATAAAGCAAAAGTCAAAGGGTGCGGCTGCAGAATCAAACGACAAGACCGGATCAGGTAGCCGAGCTCTACAGTTGGATCTCTCCAGCGTTCTGGCTCATGTTGAGGAAATCGAGTCACATGGGCTATTCTTCCTTTGTTCTCAATCTCGGCGTGTTCGTGCCTTTGCCATTACAGTTCTTCGTCTCATCACGGAATTCGATAGCGCTCTTGGCAAAGAGAATACTCGAATCATACGGATTCTAGAAGCCGACTCACACCGAATACTGGATGTCAATAGTGAATCATTGACAGTGGCTGAGCTGAGCAGGATTCAAAAAAGCAAGCGAAGAAGTGCTGCTCAGCAAGTCGTGATAGATATGTGTAGCAGCGAGGTTTCGTATGACTCGACACTATGGTCGAAAGTTTTCCCAAACATCATCCGAATAAGCTTCGAGACCTGTCCTTTCGCAGTGACACTGGGACGTGAGATTGTGTGTGCCAGACTTGTCCTTATGCACAAAGCAATCACATACTATGCTGAGGGGCCATCGCATCAATACGGCCCGATGGAAGCTGCTCAAGCTCGTATACTGGGGCGGGGCAACTTGTCGGCCGAAATTGTGATTGAGCAATGGAAACTGTATCTGGTCATGGCATGCACCACTCTCAACAGTGTTGGTGCGCAGTCACAAAGCCAGTTGGCAAACGCTCAACATGCACGAAAAGGATCAAAAGGGTCACAGCAGTCTCAAGATAAGATTAGCTCGGCTCGAAGTCTTTTTGCATTTGTAATCCCGTTGTTGTCAGCCGAGCGCCCTACCATACGAAATGCTATAGTGGTCGCCCTTGGATCTATCAACAAAAATCTCTACCGCACCCTTCTCGAATCGCTGCAGTACGCAGTCACAACTTGCAATGAGGAGGCCAAGATTCGAATCGGCACACATTATCGCTCCCCAAGCAGCCCGCGAAGAAACCGCAAGACGGATCGACTGCGGACGGAAGTCACATATGTGTACAAGCTAACGTCGCATTTTCTACAAGAATCGGATATCTACAATGACGACTGGATCGTCAATAACCTTGTCACCTATGCGAAAGATCTTCGAATATTCTTGAGTGATGCCGAGGTCCAGAATGACTGGGAATTCCAGCGTCTCAGGTTTCACTATTGTGGTCTCATGGAGCAACTCTTTGAGGGTATCAATCGAACTAGCGATCCCTCTCGGTGGATACCGTTTGAATCCAGGAAGTCCGCATTCTCTCTCATGGAAGATTGGTGTGGATATTCGCCCAATCAGTCCCAGATCTCGCAGAGGGAGGAGAACATGCGGAAATATGCTCCTTCGCAAAACAATGAGTCTGGAGCTGCCATGGAAATTGAGAAGAAGAACCTGCGTGCAGCAGCTCTCAGTGCCATGGCATCCTTGTGTGTAAGTATCTCCTAGATTTCTATCTTGGGACGGGCGGCTGACTGACTTCTGCAGGCTGGACCAATCAGCATTACAACGGAGAGCGGCTCGGTGCTGCAATTCGATGTAGGTCGAATGCTATCTTGGATTGATATTATTTTCACTACTTCGATCAGCGACAAATGGCATGCCATCGGTAGACGTGCTCTCAAGAATCTGATTGTCCACAACAAGGAGCATAATTATTTGTTAGAGCGCTCCATCGAGATGTGCTATGTTGCGGAGAGACCCAAAGCGCTAGAAAGCTACTTTGAAGTTGTCACCCAAGTCCTTATTGAGCACACAGACTTCCCCCTCAATTTCTGGCGGATTCTTGGTGCTGTCCTTGTCACACTTGGAAATCAGAAGAGAGAGATCAGAATGAAGTCTGCCAAACTTCTTCGCATCTTGGAGGAACGGCAGCAGAAAAGCTCAAGACTGCAGGATTTTTACATCAGCATCTCTGACAAGACGACCGCTGTGTACAAACTCGCCCAGTTTGAAACGTCCAAGCGACTGGCGATGCAACACTCCGACCTAGCTTTTCCCCTGTTCTCCGAGCTATCATTGCATTTCAAGAATCTGAGACCAGACAGTCAACGGAACATGGTGGCTGCTATCCTTCCGTGGGTCCAAACAATGGAACTCCAAGTTGATCCGAACGGCGGGCCGACAGCCAAGTCCTACATGCTTCTAGCCAATCTCTTTGAGATCACGATTCGTTGCAGTACCACACTTCCAAACGAAGTGCAAGCCCTCTGGCAAGCGTTGGCTACGGGGCCGCATGGAGGAAACGTGCAACTGGTCTTGGACTTTATTATCAGCCTCTGCTTGGAACGCAAAGAACAGAACTTTGTTGAGTACGCCAAGCAGGTGGTTGTGTTTCTTTCAGGAACCCCTGCCGGCTCGAAAGTGATCGAGTTCTTCTTGATGCAGGTTGTTCCCAAGCACATGGTGCAAGAGAGGAAGGAACTTACACCAGCTCCGGCCGACATCAAGAGCCTGCCATATGTTGCTGATCTCAATACGGTACTTCCACTAGGAAACAAACAGGCCGGGCTTTCTTTGGGTCAAGTTTCCTTGGTACTGCTTGTTGATCTCATGGTTGCTGCCATCACTCCGGCACTGGAAGATGTGGTCAAGTTGCTCCATGTTGCGCTCATTCTATGGGATCATTACATTGTTACTGTCCAAGAAGAGGCTAGAGAAATGTTGGTTCACTTGATCCATGAGCTGGTCGCTGCCAAGACGGAAGACGATGCCCCTGCTGGCACCAGGGAATCTATTGAGGACTTTGTGGAGATGATCCGCAAGAGTGACCCCAAGGTTGTGTGGGAATATGAGGACAACAGTGACAAAGATGATGCCGATGATGGCCGCCGTGTTCCCACGTCAATGTCTGATGTTACTCATAAAGTCGTCGGGTTTTTTAACCTTGCTTACGAAGGCATCAATGACCTTTGGGCAAAAGAAGCCTTGAATTGGGCGACCTCGTGCCCTGTCCGACATTTAGCCTGTCGGTCCTTCCAGGTATTCCGTTGCATATCCATGTCACTCGACTCCAGGATGCTAGCCGACATGCTCGCTCGCCTATCTAATACAATCGCAGACGAGGAGTCGGATTATCGGACATTCTCAATGGAAATTCTGACAACGCTCAAGATCATCATCGGGTCCTTGGCCCCTGCGGATCTGTTGCGCTATCCACAGCTGTTCTGGACGACGTGTGCTTGTTTGAATACGATCCATGAAACAGAATTCGTCGAAAGCATTGGTATGCTAGAGAAGTTCTTGGATCGTCTGAATATGAGCGACCCCATCGTTGTTGCAGAGCTCATCAAAGGCCAGCCACCCAAGTGGGAGGGCGTTTTCGGTGGTCTCCAGGATCTGGTCTATAAAGGATTGAAGTCAAGTGAATCTCTGAACCTCACATTGGACGTTTTGCATCGTCTGAGCGGCCTTCCAAACAATGATCTCATCGGAGATAGTGACAGGCTCCTCCTCACAGTATTGGCGAACCTGCCCCACTTTCTCCATCAGTTCGACTCGAATATCGACAATCCCAAGACGTTGGCACGGGCTACTCTACTTGCGCGCGTTGCCGAGAGCGAAGGGTGTCCACGTATTGCAGCCTCTCTGCTCGGGTTTGCGAACGGACAGTATAAGGCAGAGAACGATTTCTTGAGCCACATCATCACCGAGCTGCGCTCCTACTATTTCCCTCGACTGGATGTTCAGAGCTTGATCTTCCTCATGGGTCTTCTGACAAATACCACTAAATGGTTCCGCGTCAAGGTCATGAAGATACTATGTGTCCTGATACCGGAGATCGACATGCGACGAGAGGAAGTTACGAGCCATGGCCCTGACCTCATCTCACCATTACTGCGGCTTCTGCAGACTGATCTGTGCCCTCAGGCTTTGCAAGTCATGGACCACATTATGACAGTATCGGCCAACCCAATGGAACGCCATCACCTTCGAATGAGCATGGCTTCGGCCTCATCGTCACGAGCCGTTCGCAAAGAATACGAACGTATTCAAAGTCTTTATGGAATACCCGAACCGACCGGATGGTCAATTCCGATGCCTGCCTCTCAGTCTAATATCACGCGTCAGAATGTTCACGCGGTGTTCTACACTTGTGCAGAAGTGGACCGCATGGAGGTGCAAGAAACCGTCAAGCCTGAGGTTGAATTTCATGCAGACGAATACAGTGACTCGTTCTTCCCTATGCGAGCAGATACCATGAAATCAATCGACACGCAGACGGACGGCAACATGGGAGATATTGTGCAGAAATTGGACAGCTTGGACGACTTTTTCGAGGAGGCGGACCCACTCCACCCGGTCTTGGACACCATCTCAGACCCCGCACTACGTAGCTTTGCTGGTGCATATGCCGATACGAGTGCCAGTCTCTATGATCAGCAAACGGCGCCGATTCTGCGCAAATCTCTTGCCAGGACTGCCTCGACATCCTCTTTTCATAATGGACTTGCGGAGTCCCGGCCGCCAAATCTACGATTTGATAGCGCTGGGGTACATCCTTCTGGTACATTCACACCCCCAGCCCCCAGCCAACTTGCACGGCCAGTGTCTCACACTCGGTCCGTGACGTCTCCGGCCAATCATTTGCCCTCGCCATCGTCGTCCAGTGTACAGCAAGCCACGCCTGTCATTGGCTTTGGCGAGTCTGCATTTCTTTCGGACGATGAGATGGAAGACACGTTTGCTGATAGCAAGCCATCTATACCACATCCCATCAACCAGGTGCGAAGCGCTACTGAAGGGTCATCGTCGCTTGAGTCGATGATTCGCAGCGGCATGAGACGGCTCACTGGTGGCACGGCCCCGGGCCGAGACAAGGAGCGTCAGCGTGATATAATCCGCGCACAACAACGGACACAGGCGATTAGCTCACCACGCGTGCCTAAAGTCCCCTCTGAATATTTGAATGGCCCAACGAGCAATCCAGCATCCCCGGGACAGCAATGAGATGCCCCCTGCACCTCAGAGTCCTTTGGTGGACGCTCTGTCCTGCGCAGCTTGGCTTTCTATTAAACGGTCATTGGCATCATTTGACGGCGTCTCAACGCAATTTTCTTTTCCTCTTCTGGCGTTCAACATACCCATTGTCGATTGCTGTGGTGTCGTACGAGCGGTTTTCATATTAACTTTCGATGCACTGGCATCCTCCTTCAGTCTCTGTACATTATTTAATCTAGACATGGAACATAGAGAGCATCAAGTTCACCCTAGCGCGTAGTTGTACTAGCTATTCATATTCGATAAGCCGTGACACGTGCAGTGAGTAGTAGTGACGCTCCGCGGCCTTGCCAAATTGGGCCTTCCCCGCACGAGGTCGGGGTAAAGATCGACATCCCCATATTCCATTAGTTCACCAGCACCCTACCGTACCCAGTACTAGTTACTCGATGTGTCTACCAACCACTTTGCTGGCTGAATGGCAAGGATCGGTTATCCACGGGACTACTACCTGACTTCGATTTACTGCTCGACGTCGTCCTCGGGCCCAGCAGCGCTGACCCCCCTCACACCGATGAACTACAGCCAAAGTGCTGCATTTACAGCCTCAACTTACGATAGCTACCACTTTTGAAGAACGACGCGTGCCTTTGCTTGACTGTGAGACAAGAAGCCATTGGCAGCAGCAAGCTATAGCACTTATCTACACTCAACAATGAATCGTCTCAGTGCTCTATCCCCGCTCCTGTGGGGAACCACCCGCATGTCAAGAGTAGCCCCTTCGAAGAGCCATCCTCTTCGAAACTCCCCCATCACTCCAAAAAGGCTGTTCTCATCCTCTACACACAAAGATGCCACGTGGGGATTCATAGGGCTCGGACAAATGGGTACGTACGGCGCCAACCTCTCGAGCATGCGTGTTGCGGGTGGCTGACAGTGCGATTTTCTGTCTAGGATATAACATGGCTAAGAATATACAGTCTAAGATCCCCGCCACCGACACGCTGATGATTCGCGATGTCAATCAAGATACCACCGCCCGGTTCGTGGAGGAAGCTCGTCAGGCGGTCAAGCGAGCTGCTGCTGCTGGCACTAGCACTGGCATGGCCAATGTTGTCGTGGCGGAGAGCGCGAGAGATATGGCAGAACAATCTGTAAGTGAATAGAGCTCTCTTCGACGGTCGGAACATGGCGCATCACAGGGTCTATTGGAACTTCAACCCCGGAAAGCATTCGCCGTGGGATATTGTCTACAGACTTTTTGGATTCGTCAAGATCTGTCAATGCCCAATTGGGCCGCTGGTTTCGTCTTCTGATAACGTTTCCTGTTTCCAGACGGTCGTCATAACCAGCCTTCCAGAGCCACAGCATGTCAAAGACGTCTTCTATTCCATCCTCCGGCACGGTGAACTTCCCGCTCTGGATCAGGAGCGTCTGTTCATCGACACGTCAACCATCGATCCTAGTTCTTCCAAAGAGATTGCGAATGCGATTCACACCACCGGCCAAGGTCGCTTTGTGGACGCACCTGTGTCCGGGGGTGTCGTCGGGGCCCGCAACGGTACGCTCAGCTTCATGTTCGGTGCCATGTCCCAGACCGGTCATTTCATTGACCGAGTGAGGTCGGTTCTGTCCCTCATGGGCAAGAATGCGTGGCACATGGGCGCTCCCGGTGCCGGGGTCTCGGGAAAACTCGTCAACAACTACATCCTGGCGATCAACAACATCGCCACCGCCGAAGCAATGAATCTGGGCCTGCGCTGGGGCCTGGATCCTAAGACTCTTGCTGATATGGTCAGTACGTCCACCGGTCGGTGCTGGCCGATGGAGGTCAACAACCCTGTGCCTGGCGTCGTGGAGACGGCGCCAGCCTCTCGTGACTATGCCGGTGGCTTTGGCGTCAGCCTGATGAAGAAAGACTTACGGTTGGCGATCACGGCTGCAGAGGAGTCGGGCTCGCCTCTCCCCCTGGCTGACGTAGCTCGTACCGTGTATAATGCCGTGGAAGAAGAACACCGCGGTAAAGATTTCTCAGTGGTCTACAAGTGGCTTCAGGATAGGTCACAATAACGGGGGGGTTGAGTTTCTGGGTGGATGTTCGCTTTCAAGGAACCGTATGCCGCAGATATCGTGATGCCCTTCAAATGAACCGCGCAATGAAGAGCAGCCTGGTGTTCAAGGACTATAACTCTCCTATCCTAGAAATTGAAGACCTAGGAGCACTTCTAATTGAAGAGATACTTGGCATACCAGACAAGAGATAATTTCTGTTTAGTTTCCGCGTTCAATCCCCAGGCTAGTAGACATGTGCGCCGAACTCATGTAGGACTTAGTAAACACGAACAATGACACAGCTGTAGCGCCAGATTTGGCGCATTTTCCAAAAGAGCAACATGATCATCATTTTGTCTATACCAATTATGTAGAGATATTAGAAGTAATAATAGTGCCGACCAACGAGACACACACATACACACATATATATATGTACTCCGCTCACAGAAAGAAGGGAGAGCTCCGCAACACCAATCTCGCACCAATGCATCCATCCACTCAACCTCACAGAGCCCGTCCAGGACTCTCGTCGAACAACCAATTTGGGATTCCCCCAACCTACTCCTCCTTCTTCACTCCCTCAGCCTCATCCTCACTCCAATCCAACAACTCCATAATCTCCTCCTCCGACAACTTCTGCGTCTGCTTCTCTGCCTCCTTCTCCAAGCTCTTCTGATACTTCTTCTGCCTCTTGCGGGCATTCTTCCCCCACTCAGGCACCCCGCTCGCCGTCGCGAAATCCTCCTGCGTGGCGGTGGAAGTTGCCGCGGAGCCGGTCGCGGTCGCGGTGGCAGTGTTGGTGGCGGCGGTATCATCCTCGTCCTCGATCTCATCGTCCGTGTTCTCCACCTCCCCGAGCACCCGTCCCCCGCCGCGAAGCGCATTGGCCGACATGCGCGCCTTCTTCTTCTCGCCCTTCCCAGCAGCGCCACCGCCAGCCGCCGCTTCCTGGGCGCGCTTCTTCTCCATGTGCTTCTTGCGGTCCTTCTCATGCATCTTCTTGAACCAGGCTTCGATGTAAGGTCGGATGATCAGGTAGCCGACCACAGAGAGGATGACCTTGGTCCAGCGGCCCATGGAGACGTTGGCGAAGGAGCCGTGCAAGTTCGTGATGAAGCGGGTGACCACGGTCTCGGCGACGGAGTAGAGCTGCGTGAAGAAGTCGGTGAGGGCGTCGAGGGCGACGGCGCCCGGGTCGGGGGTCGGAGTGGACATTTTGGGGGGTTTTTTTTCGTTTCGGGGTGGATTGAGGGTTGTTGGTTTGGGACTATTGTTCTTCGATGCTGCTTGTTCAAGGTTGCGAGGCAGAGGGCGGGTCTGGCCGGATGATCGGAGTGTGGGGGATTGAAATTGGAAGGCCTGTCTGCGGTCAGACAGCAAAGGGCCTTTTTGGAAGTAAAAAAGCAACTCGGATACTGCGAAAACGCAGAAAAATGGTATAGGTGAAAGGCCACCTCTGTCCTCAGTCAAGTAGCTTAGTTTCGCCGCAATAAATCGCGCATTCGGAGTGGAAATGCCGAAAGTGGAAATGTTTTTGGTTCGAGGTTAGCGTCATTCTCCAGGCCCGGGTAACGGATTAACATCCGTTCCGGCGGGTTGAGCTTCGGCCAATCACAGCTCATCCTGTATACTCAACGCGTCCCCGACACGACTGCCGCGGGAAGTCGTCGCGCATCGGCAAGCTACAGTTCGGTCGGTATCATCGTGATAGTCGTGTGAATTACGACTGGTGCATTTGGTCAAGCAGAATCTGCGATTCGTGTCATTTCATTCTCAAGTCTCTGAAAGGCCCTGTTTTCAAAGCTGGAATATCCGCGATGGATCAGAACGAAGAAGCTGGACTCGAAGAGGTATGTATCCCATTGAATGGGTGGTGCGGTGCTTGCTCCACTGCGTACGCTTGGGCAGCTGTGCTGATTGTTGTCTTCGCACTTGATACAGCGCTTGAAATCTGCTCTTTGGCTGGCGATTGGGAGGATCGTGGACGAAGAGACCATCAAGCTCGGTATCAACGCCACGCCGCAGTTCATCGGGGCGTTGACGGAGTTGGTCTGGGCTCAAATAGGTTTGTCTTTCTCTCTCCTCTGCCTACCATCGAGATCATCACGCTGGATATACTCTATCAGCAGCATCCTTTTAGATGTTTCTTGTTGGATGTTTTCTTCTCCTCTCGCACCAGACTAACGTCCGAATGCTGACTGAATTCCCAACAGAAACCGTTAGCCAGGACTTGGAATCATTTTCCAAGTAAGTGATACTCTGAAATGACTCTTTTGCCCGAGGAACTTCCTCTCATGACAAAAATCTGGTTGCCATGTTGTGGCTCTGTCTCGTGCTTTGGGACGTTGACATTACGATATGCTGACATGCTCGGCTTTCCCTTTTAGGCATGCCGGCCGCTCGACGGTCAATGTCACCGATGTCATGCTCCTGGCACGCCGCAACGAGGGCTTGGAGTCTATTCTCCGCGCGTTCCTTGAGCAGATGCGTGGTCAAGAAGCCTGATTCAGTGGGGTTCCACTGACTGGTGTTTCCTTCGTCGGGATTACTTCAGTCCAAAGTTTATGTGCAGATCTACTCGACAGCTTCCATATAATTGGTGGCTGAGCTCCTCTGCCATTCATAGCCAACTTCAAGGGTATGTAAGGCAAGACCATTCATTTCCATCTCATATCAAGTCAGTAACCGGAGGGGTGGCTAACTTTCTGGCAGGCATGGTGGCGGACCTTTTTTTCTTTACAGATGCGGAGATCAAATTGACGTGAACCTAGAAGGTCCAATTCGTCATGCTTCATGACGCCACTGCACAAGGCTCCCAACAACGCGAAACAGGTACTCGACCTCTCCAGACGCCATCAACCCTGGAGAGTCCAATCACCGCTCCGACTCCAGCTCGGAGAATCTTGAACCTATCGCTGAACTACCAGCTGACATCTGACGTCGAACAAGAGGCAGCAAATCATGCTCGCGCTGCTCCCGGACCGATCCAAAGAAACATGAATAACCTCCTGGGGCCACCCGTAAGGGCCGCTTCAACGCAGGGCCAATGCAACATCAGATACCTCATGTTGTAATGATTATCAGATAGACAGCCTCTCGTCGACCAATTGAACACCATGTAGACAAAGTACTGTACATACACTTCAACCAATCAATGGAATCTGAAATCATATCCTGTCCGCGTGGGAGACCTTATATCGACTTAACGTCATTGCAACGTCTGCCTTTTGCCGCGACATCTTATATGGCATTCGGTTCATGAATACGGCAGTATACACTTTGCTTTTACAACAGACCTTCGCCGGATTCGCCATTGCGTTGCTTCACGAGAGTGTATATCACAATACCAATCAACATCATATGACGAATACAACTCGACGAAAAGCGAAAATAAATTACTGGAAACTGCGACTGACTCGGTCGAAGCTCTTCGAACGACTCTCACAGGAACTGAACCCACCATGAAAGCCGTGCGCTACCACGGACGGGGCGACATCAGGGTAGACGAGATTGAGGAGCCGACATGCGGGAAGGGACAGGTTAAGGTAATTTCCCTCCTTGTCGGAGATTAATCCCCACTGACGGCCACGCCATAACATAGATGCGACCTGCCTTCGTCGGAATCTGTGGCAGTGGTAAGCGTTCTACCGTCGCTACTTAAGTATCCCTACTTCTGTACTAACCCTCCTAGACTTACACGAATACATGGGCGGACCAGTCCTGATACCTCAAAAACCGCACAAGATCACCGGAGCCACGCACCCAGTGACCCTGGGCCACGAATTCGGCGGGGTCATTGAAGAGGTCGGCGAGGGCGTAACCCACGTCTCGCCAGGACAGCGAGCCGTCGTGCGGCCCACCATCTTCGACAAAGAGTGTAGGTCCTGCAAACTCGGCTACGAATACTGCTGCGAGAACATCGGCTTCATCGGACTATCAGGTACGCCCGGCACCCAACCGACCGTCTTCCTTACTATTGAGCGAGAGCCAAAGACGAGCAACCCAGCTAACCACCCAATTACCTCTGCGCAGGGTACGGCGGCGGCCTAGCCAACTACATCGTCGCGCCGGCCGAACACTTCTACCCGCTGCCGGATACCATCTCCCTCGAAGCGGCGGCCCTGATTGAGCCCCTGGCGGTCGCGTGGCACGCCGTGAACATATCCCCCTTCAAGCCCGGCGACAGCGTCCTGGTCCTCGGCGGCGGGCCCGTGGGGATCGGGATCGTGCAGATCCTCAAGATGCAGGGGGCGCAGAACATCCTGGTCGCCGAACTGATGGCGAACCGCCAACGACTCGCGCGGGACTACGGCGCCGCGCACATCGTGGACCCGCGCGAGGAAGGATGCAGTACAGCCGCGCGCGTCCGCGAGCTGACGGGGGGCATCGGTGCGGATGTCATCTTCGATACTGCGGGGGTGGAGGCGGCGCTCAACGAGGCGATCGGCGCCTGTCGCACCCACGGCACGATTGTGAATATCGCGGTCTGGGAGAAGCGGCCCGCCTTGCGGGTGAATGATTTGATGTATAGCGAGCTGAAGTATACGGGGTCGGCGTTGTATGATGAGAGTGCGTTTGTTAACGTGATTCAGGCGCTGAATCATGGTATGTTTCATGCCTATCTTTTGGTGGTCAGTGATGTCGCGAGGCTCTAACATAGGTGATAGGCCAATTGAACCCGGAGAAGATGATCACCGCAAAGATCGGGTTGGATGATGTGGTGGAGAAGGGGTTTGAGGAGCTGGTCAATCATCGGGATGCGCACTGCAAGATTCTGGTTGATGTGCAGGCATAGAGCTTGGGATGGTGTTGCTATTGACTCACTAACGACGATACGAGTTTCGTGTTGCTTTTGTGTATGATATTGTTGAATATGCGCCATTGCCATTGCATGATACTGCGGTACTCGCCGGCTCTGTAAGAATTCGATAAATATCACTGCTACGTACCACTGAATACTTACAAGAGCCTCACAGTTGAACAATAGCATAGCCATGCCCCCCTGACTGCCCAGTGTACACTTCCATCAACATACAGCACTCCTCCATCCCATGAAGTCCCACATCACTCGTAGAAAGTAGTGATAAACACCCCACGGTTGGCCACCTACCAGGATCCCCGCATACTGTGTGACGGTGACCTGAAGTCATACTTCCGATTGCATTGACCCTGGCATTCTTGCTCTTTCGTATGGTGCTTACAAAGTGGCAAAAACATCAACTGGGTCCCATAGCTCAGTTGGTTAGAGCGTAACGCTAATAACGTTAAAGTCGAGGGTTCGACCCCCTCTGGGACCATCTCTTTTTTCTTTTAGATAAGAAGAGTCTTATCCTGTGGTGGAAGCATAGCTTGGAGGTTTTTCTTTTATGGAAGTGCAATGTAATGGTGGAGTGGGCTTGAGGTACGAAAGTGGTCTGGTCTGGTCTTAGCGGGTTTTGTGGGTGTTTGTAACGTATGTGTATAATGTAGCTCACCGGCACTATTCACATTTGTCTTACGGAACGCGGTTGTTGGTGGAATCGCTAGTCAAGTATATAAGGGTTGGTGGGCGTTGATTTGAAAGCGTGCCCCTGGCCTCTAATTCTACATCTCGAATTGGGTTTCTGGAATGCCACAATTCATGGATCGGACCTTCGGGAAATGCTCGCGACGTTCGTCATTGGACTCCGAGGTTCTTCGTCCGGTATATCTGAGCTGTGCTTCTGTCCGTCGGCTGTGCTTGGGATTGGGTGTTGGCTACCTATTGATTCCGGTGACTGTGCTACCGTCAGTCTGCACGTCCAAGGCCCTCGAGGCACGTCGTACCTTCATCCCCCAACTGCATTCCATCTGATCCTGAGCCAACATCAACTTCAGAACGGACGAGCTATACTGGATGTACATCGATGTCTAACGCGGCATTGGAACTTGAACATGCTAAACTCGTCCAGCCACATACTAATCCAACTAGCCGAGCTTTTGGCAGCATCCACCTCGCCAGACATATGGTTGCTGCGCTTCTCTGCTGCTTAAAAAGGCTCCTGTCCTTGAAACGTTCGGAATGAGGCAACACAATTCGCGGAGCATGCGCCACGGCCGCTTTGGGCGTGGATGCATCCGACTCTTCCTCCGCTCGCTGCAATCAACGGGAATAGGGCAGACCTGTGAAGCGGCTCGAGTGTGACAAGTTGGTCTGTTAAAAGACACCTTAGTGGGACTTCTTTTCCCCGGGTGGGAATGCTACTGGACAGTCCAATCGGTCATTTCAGCAACGCTCTACATGACCGTAGCCGGAGGACAGACGGGGCATTAGGTGATTCGGAGTGATCGTCTGACCGCTGCAATTTGGGAGTGTTTAGACTTGGACATCCGCTTCGCGGGCTATGGATCTGTCTTAGAGTCGAGTCAGGCCCCCCTCCTTCTCCACATGGCATACACGGCCAGGCCGTCATCCCAGTATACAGCCGTACCACGGGCTGCCTGATTCGGTTTGATATCCTGTCCGTGGGTGTACTATGCATATTCCAAGCACGAGAATCCACCCCTCTTGTCCGAATTCTATTCATCCGAACAAGTCGGTCATATTCAGCAGGTTACCTACCTACCCATCACTATAAACCTGCCAGAAAGAATGCGCGGGAAGCAAAAAGATGGTCCCAGAGGGGGTCGAACCCTCGACTTTAACGTTATTAGCGTTACGCTCTAACCAACTGAGCTATGGGACCCGCTTGTGGAAGTAACCCTTGATTTAGCGCTCTACGGATCACAAGTAAGCTGTAGGGCAAAAACAGGTAGATATGTACCTGCTCGTGAGGTGTGGGGTGTTGTTGTGTTGTTTGAGGGCGTTGGGAGTCGCTCGATATGCTTATGTGCTAAGCTGGTGCTTGGCTGTCAGTGGGGCGCATCCGCAGGCGGTGGAATGGTCTGATGTGACTTGTTTGTGAATATATGGGAGGTCTCTGCGTTGGTGAATGTTATGTGAAAGCTGCTGGACCGGGTGGTCTTGACATCGGATTGGGCGGCCGCCCGCGATTACAATGCTAGCCAGTACGTTTTAGGGGTACGATGCCTCGTTTCTTGTAGGACGGGTGCATGTGATGGGCGGTGACTGGGGTTGTGGTATTGATGTGTTGGTGGGAGGGATACAGATCTCGATGACACATACTTCAATGTGGGAACGTGTCGAGTCAGAGGCAGCTTGCATTTAAAGAATCTGTAGAAATCCTTTTGGCTAGGCTACTAGAATGTGGAGGCAGGAGGAACAGCGCCTACGTGGTGATGCTGTGATGATTTAAGGTGTCCCAAACTCAATTCATTTAGAGTTTGTTGATAAGATTAACTTGGTTGGCGGACCCGGCCAGCCACGAACCTGCTAGCATGGCATCTGGTACGAGGCGTCGAGTACTGTAGCAGAAGTAAGCGGCCCATTTTTGATGTATAAAAAAGAAGTGCCCTCAGTCTATGGGCTTACGCAAGTCCTGGACATGTCGTCGAACGAGAGCTACAACAGCGCACAGGTCCAGTTTGTCAATCGACCTCCTTCCCCTGTCTATTTCCATTCCCCGATCTCGATCTCGACCTCGACCTCGACCTCAAGCTAGGTCTAATAGCAAAAAGGGAATGTGTGTGGCCAAAAAGATGGTCCCAGAGGGGGTCGAACCCTCGACTTTAACGTTATTAGCGTTACGCTCTAACCAACTGAGCTATGGGACCCCACTTGTTGAATCGGCCGAAGATCAAACATCCTATGTTGTTATGCAAATTTGCAGTAAGTTTGTCCGGTCTTGGGAAACATTCATGGGCGAGTTCGAAGGCTTACCTGCGGACCTATTCAAATCCCCTTTTATTGTTATCTAGTAGCTCCCTGATATCTATTGTTCTAAAAAACAAAACTTTTAGCGCTGGAGTAATGGTCTCATCAAATAGCATCACGACTCTGCTTGTTCCATCGGCTGAACGTCTGGGCTGAATTGACTGGCTTGGCTTTATTTAGAGCTAGGTTGGGCTGGGTAGGTGATTAAAACGCTCGATTGCTGTGGTTCAGGTCCTATGTTTGTTATGCTATGGTTATAGTAAAGCACTGTGGAGTGCTGTGGGTCCTTCATCTGGCTTGCGTTCCTGGTCTGCTGTTGCGTCTGCTCGAGTTGCGGATGTACTTTCCGTGTGAAGCGAATACATACATTCGACTCCAGCCGGTATTCCAATCTACTCGATCATATGACACAGCAAAGTAACCAAACATCATGGATACAACTGCAATAGGCCAGATCGAGAAACAGCAGTGACTTTCTAAAACACAGCCCAATTGACATCAAATGCCACCCCAACCAACACAGGCACGGGCTACTAGATAGTGAATACTGCGAACCGGCAGTTAGCTGCATGACGCGAGCACCCCTTCTCCCCCATCGCTAGCAGCCATCCTCTCGGCCTCACCCATCTCGCTATAATCATATCTCCAACGGAGAGCTCTATGTGTGCACGGTGGTAAGAAGATTGGACATTGTACCCAAGCGAGTGGGTGAAAGACAGACAAAGTGTGATTGATATGTGCAAGTCACACAACTGCCGTAAACATATACAGAGCGCAACCAACCCACACAGGAACCCCAGAAGGAGCAGAATTGCAAGCCCACAATAATACAAGTATCAACAGAGTCTACCTAGACAACCACCGAGACTGGAATTATCGCCCCCCGGCCCCAAAAGCAGATACACACCGCAACCCACCTAATCCCCAACACCACAACCCTTCTCTATCCCAACCGATCTCCACAAATTTCTAGCAATGAAACATATAACATTAGTTCAATCCCAAAACAACAACCGGGTCCCATAGCTCAGTTGGTTAGAGCGTAACGCTAATAACGTTAAAGTCGAGGGTTCGACCCCCTCTGGGACCATCTCTTTTTGCTCCTGCACATTCCACTCTAGTGGTTTGTCCGTACTGTTTTGTCAATCCCAACCACAGAAAAACGCAGCAGCGACAACTGCGGTGGCAGTTGTTGACACCGAGCACACTATGACCGCTGCCCGAGGGTGGGCTGAGCCACGTCCACAGTAGACAAAACACCGAGCGTTGACGCAAGCAACACCCGTGATACTTACAGTCCCCGGAAAGTAGTCTGCGTACTCCCTCCACAAGGAATTCGTCTCATTCCTATTTAGGACTGGTTACACCCAACTCCTGCCGGTCATGCCACCGCCGCCAAATTCTCAATGCTTTGTATAACGTGCTGTACTATATATTTTTGACGAGTCAATCCCCCTTATTATCTACCCCCTAAGGCACCGAGCCCCAATAATTCAAAGGACGCCCCCCCCCCCCCCCCCCCCCCCCCCCCCCCCCTGAACCTACAGCCAGCAATGAAGAAGACAGAAAGTCAGTGTATAACAATTCCGCCGAGATTGTTGCTTTCACGGTGCTTGGTAAAGCAGGATGGTAATGTACATATACCTCTGCCAAGCGGTAACAGATAAATTGATATATAGTATGATATACCTAAGCAATACAGGTTCTTTAGGCTGATATTCGAGGACACCGAAGCTTGCACTACTCAGTGAGTAAATAGAGGCTCTGTAGGTACTGCCTATAAGAAGAGCACAACAGTTATCAGTAGCAGCGCTTCGAGCATCTCAGGCCAAGCAGGCATTCCCCACGACAGCGTTTGCAGCGACGGGAAGTAGCGAATTAAGAAGATGGGATTTGCAGCCAACATCCCAGTAATAGTACTACTATACTAAACACTGCCCAGCTCGGAGACATAGATACAGCGCCCCCACCCCCCAACCCATGTACATTGCACTGCAATACATCCAACCGAAAATATGTATATACACACGGACTCTCACCTTCACCCTCACCCGAACCCGAACCCGAACCCCTTCATTCAGTCAATGTACGGTACTATCACACCGAGATTTTAACCCCTCACCAACGGCACTGTATCTCAACCCCTTGACTCACACTCCAACCCACCAATTCCCACCCCCAGGATACCCAAGTATACACAAGACCTCCCACCCCCTTAACGCAGGCACGTAGAGCACAACTTCAAGCCAGCATCAACAACAACTGGTCCCATAGCTCAGTTGGTTAGAGCGTAACGCTAATAACGTTAAAGTCGAGGGTTCGACCCCCTCTGGGACCATCTTTTTTGTCCCCTAGACATTCTGTCTTTCCTATTGATTATCATCATCCAAGGCGAGATAAGTGGGGGAGAGAGAGGGCTGCTTTTCTTTTTGTTCGATTTGCTGGACAGAAGGCGGTGGGGGTGGTTGGTTTGTCCTGCACTAGATATGCGTTTTATGATGAGTGGAATGCGGTCATGATATGATCCGATGAGATGCTATGTACAGTACAAGAGTAAATAGAGTGGTATCTAGCCCATATAAGTAGGCAAGTAGGCGAGGTAGTCAATGCTATCGTCATCAACCGCACCCGGTAAAATCCACCGCCACTAACAAGCAAGTATGCAAGGTACCCAGCTACAACCTAACGATCACCCTTCTTCACCCCCCTCACCTCCCTCATTGCCTCCTCCACCAACCACACACTCACATCCTGCGCATCCCGACCGACCCGCCAGCTCCCCAGCACCACACCGCGGGTCTCAAGCAGCTCCTGCGCGCGCTCCCACCGACGCCGCCACATCTCCTCCCTCTTATTCGGCAGCGGTGCGGCGGGCGGCGGATTCTCGAACCCCCCGGTCCGGTCCGTGGCACCGCCGCCCCCGCTGCCGGTGTTGGCTCGATTAAGTGAGGAGTTCGACTGCGTGGAGCGGAGGATGTTGGCCGGGGAGGCGGACCAGTTGAGGCGTTCGGAGGCGTACTGCAAGGCTGCGGAGGCTGCTGCTGCGGGGTAGGATTGCTGCTGCTGCTGCTGCTGCTGCTGCTGCGGTGGTTTCTGAGGCGGGGTGGGACGGTTGGCTGTGGATTGCTGGGATGAGCCGGAGCTTTCAACGGATGCCAGTGTGTTGGCTCGACGAGGCGGAGGTGGAGGCGGAGCTTGTTTCGAGCGGGTGGGCTTGGCATCGCCCATCTCCTGGTCGAAACCGGCGGTCTTCGGCCGCGTGGGTAGTTGCTGCATCGTGTGCTCCACAGCTGCGGTCCGGTCCTGCGAGACTTCGGGCTTGGTGGAAGACCGACGCGGCGGTAGTGGAGGCACGGGCTTCCGTTTGATCGACTCCCCCACCGAGATATCGGCGTTCGTTGAATTCGAGCGCAGAGAGGAAGGCTTCGACGGTTTAGCCGGGGGTGCCCGTCCGGCGAGAGATACGGCGGGGGTCTTTATTTCCCGAGATGAGGCTTCCCGCTCGTCATCATCACGGAGATCAATCTGGTCTCCATTGTCCAGGCTGATGGCATCTGCAGATGGGTTGTTGACCGATGACGCCAGAGGCCGGCGAGGCGGGAGCGCCGGCCGCTTGGGGGCTGCATCGGAGTCGTCGACAAGCTGGGGATCGCTGCGACTCGCGGACACTCTGTGTTCCAGATAGTCCACGGACTTCTCGAAGAATTCTTTCTTAGGCGTTGTGGTGACGTCGCGGATGAAGATGCCCAGAATCCTGCCTGGATTGGCCAGGACGATATCGGTGTAGACCTCCAGATCCGCCTCGCCGCTATCGCCGACCAGGATGAACTTCCGCGAAGGGAAGTCTTTCAGGATCTGCTCGAGGTTGCCCTTCTTCCGCTCCGCCGTAGGCTCAAAGATTCCCTGGAGCATCCCACTGTATTGCTTGAGATGGATGGACCCCGGAGGTAGGCCGACTTGCTTGAAGTACCGCTCCAGGAGCGGGTAGAGCTGCCACGGCGCGTTCGAGACGTAATGGAAATCCACCCCCATCTTAGCCAGCTGGTTGTACCAGTCCGCGACGCCCTCGATCGTCAAATCGGCCAACTCGCGAACGAAGGTATTCCGGAAGATCTCCTTTGCACCGCTCGCAATGGCCGAGTGTTTCACCGTGTCGTCGATATCACTGATCAAACTGATCCCGGAGGGCTCGATGATCTGAACCTCCTTCACGACCGACAGATTCTCCGAGGCGAGGACGCGGATATGGGTCGGGACGAAGGGCAGGGCGGCGCGCATCCTGAAGTGGCCGGACACATCCGTCATGATACTCCTCGACTGACTCCGGGTCTCGTCGAAGAAGAACACGGTCACCGGCATATCCGTGACGGGGTTGGTGAGAAACGGCCGCAGCCGCTCCATCAGATGCGCATTGGCCATCGAAAGCTCGTCCTTGGTCATCTGCGCCGCCGTCGTCGCCGCGGTACTCGCCAGACTCGACGAGGTCCCCGTCCGCTGCGGCAGACGCCCCGGGACGACCCCGGGATTGTTATCTCTGTCCCCCAAGGCACTCTCCTTCCACGCCGAATCCGCGCGGCCCTCCGCCCCCTTGATAATGGACTGAGCCTCCGTATCGACCAGCTCCTCCTCACGCCGATCAGTCTTCCCCCCCGAATCGTCCCCCGCGCCAGCAGCACCCGCATTATTCGCCGGAGCCGGCACGCCACTCAGCTTCCTAGCCAGCGCAATCATTAACCGATGCTTCCGCGTCATCGGCCCGCGATGCGGCGCATACAACCAGCCGCGCACATCCACCGAGACCACGGCATTCTTCTCCGCATAGTCATCGAACCCCGCCACCGTGTTCGGGTCCGCGTCGACACCACGATACTCATCGATCGTGGCATTCGAGCCCCTCCGCCGGGCCCACGGGTCATCATCATGATCCGCACCCACCACATCCTCATTTCTACCAGAATCATCCCTCACAATCCGCCGCCCATAACTCGGAAAAATCACCATCTCCTCCAGCCCGGACCGCGCAATCTCCACGTCCGGAAACGCCCCCGGCGCATCGCTGGTGTAGTACTCATCGCCGTAGTCCCGTTGCGACCCCTGCCCCCCTTGCCCGTTCAGCTGCGCCGCCCACTGCGCCGCATACGTCTGCCGCAGCTCGTTCGCCGCCTTGAGGTAATCGTAGACCTTCTTGCGGCGCGTCCCGCGACCGGCCCCGCTCCAGGAAGAGGAATCGTACTGTGACATGGCCGTTACAGCCTTGGCAGCCGTAGCCGTAGCCGTAGCCGTAGACGCAGGCGCAGAAGCAGAAGCAGACCACCGTCCCCGCCTATTACCCAACAAATACCCTAAAACCCCACCGCCACCACCTCTGCTACCGCCACCGAACCGAACACCACCACTAACACTCCCCCGTTTTGCAAGTATGCGGGCCTGCCGCCGAACGATCGCCCGGTAGACGCGGGCCTGGGCGCGGTGCCGGAGCCCCGGGAGGGTTTCGTGGCGCACACTCCAAAGGCGGAGCTGGGCGCGGCGGAGCGAGTGCGGGCCGAAGAGGAGGGTCCAGAGGCGGGGTTTGGTTGTGCGGGAGGATTGCAGCGGTGGAGGGGCGAGGAGAGGGCGGTTGCGGCGGAGGAGGAAGGGGAGGGGTCGTCTGTTGGTGTTGCTGCTGGTAGGTGTAGGGGGCGGGGGCGCGCGCCGGCGGGAGGAAGAGGAGCGAGGGAGGAATTTGGGAGCCACGGTTTTTCTTTTGAGATCAATACCTTTTCGGGGTGGTTTGTTGTTTAGTTATGGGGTGTAAGTCGGGGTATCGCTGTGTCTGTGTGGATGTGGATGTGATGAAGGGAAGAGAGAAGTTGAATCGCTGGAGGATGGAGGTTGTGAAGTTGAGTTGATGGGGCTGGCTGGGTTTGTGTGGAGGCGATGACGAACTTCCTCGGGGATAAGCAACGAGAGTCTCAAGAGATCTTGTCAAGGTGGCTTCATCTCCTTCTAATTAGAATTTCGCATGAACGAGGGGCTTGCTGTTTAAAGTACAGGCAGCAAAAGAAAATCAAGACATGATCGGAGTACCAAATTTCAGAAGTGAGCGTGTGAAGGGGGTAAAACAGGGCGAGGGTCTCGAAGCGCACTGCAACGTCAAGCTGACGGCCGGAAGAAACCCGCGGTGGGGACTCACACTTCGTCCAATTGGGATCGATTGTACCACTTTTATTGATGGCATTGTCTAGACTTTGGAGGAACCTCATAGGTAAATTGTCACATTACCATTAAGCAAATCTCTAGATGATCCTTATATATACTGTTGTACACTCTTGTCTATGATATAGCCATGCTAGTCAGCATATAACCACCCCGGGACTGTTCACAGGACGCTGCGAGGTCCGATCAACTGGCAACTCCAAGCCAGTATCTAGCCCTGCTGTGCGACATAACCCCACCGCTCAGCAGGAAGCAAAGCTCGGATGCAGATGCTCGTGAAGAACTCGAGAGATCTGCCGCATCTTAGCGGTGCATGTCCGCATGCCTAATGCACGGCTATTCTCAGGCACGGTTGAATCTGCAGCTGCAGCAGCAGCAGCTGCCCAACGGACTTTACACCATAGCTAGACGACACGTCGGACATCAAGCCGAATCAGGGTCCTCGGTATAATTCACCGTCTTCGCCCGCCTACTACGACGGACCCCAGCACCCTTCGTGCTGGTAAGCTCCGGTGGCCCCGGGATGTCTGAATTTTCCATGTCCACGTCCGAAGCAGACGGCGTGGAAGCGATAGGCGAAGCCTTCCGTTTCCTGGTTGTCGGCTTCTTGACACTGGAGGTCCGCTGGACCCGCCGAGTGGCCTTGGAGGCTGGTGTAACCGGCGCCCCGTTCTCCTCTTCGCCGTTTGCTTCCGGCTCGCCTTTCGGCAACGGTGAGTCGGCATTGGCGACATCCTTCGTCTTCCTCGAGACTGGTGTCTTCCGTGGGCTTTGAGGGACTTTACGAACGACCTTCTTCGGTCGAAGCCATTCCTCCATACCCGGAGGCCAGTACACTCTTCGCTGGGGCCCGCCCATACCGACATCCTCTTCCGGAACAGTCCGCTCGGGGGGAACTTGACCTTCAAGGTCGACGAACCCCTCCTTCTTCTTCGTCTTCCTCGGAGGCTTAAATTGTTTGTTCTCGTCCGTGCGCATGTAAGGTAACATGTCGTTGAAGAGCTCATAGCCTGGGAGTTTGAACGTCCTCATCAGCTCGAACACCGCCTGCTCCTTGTCCTTGGCTTCAATCATGAGATCCATGGTCGGGTCGCAAGGAGGAAGAGTGGACACGCGGTCGCTGTGCTTTCGGCGCTGTCTATTAGTGATGGCAGCCGCGGTGGGCTCGGAGTAATGCATCTTCTGAGTGATGTTCTTCCGCGTCCAGGTCGCTTTGATCCGGTCATACAGACCTATAATATCCTGCGTCCCCTCGCGGACTTGTGTCGCATCGAAGATAATGTTATGATGGTGGAAGTCCAGAACAAGCGGGATGTTCAACTCCTCGCAGATGGGTAGGAGATCGTGCACAGACCAGCTAACGTCGTCGTTCTCGAGCACAAGTCGGTTCTTGACATCCTGCGGCAAGGCCGAATAGTTCTCTCGAAACCGGTCGAGAGTAGCCTGCTTATCGCCGAAGACGCCGCCCATGTGCAGGATCATGACTGCATCGCGGTCCTGCTGCGGGGGCAGACGAAGCAACTGCAGCATTTCAGAGTGGTAATCCAAGTCCCGCAGAGAGTTCTCCACCACGCCATCATTAGGCGAGCCGAGCTGGGTGAACTGGCCCGGGTGGGTGGTCACGCGATGGCCCAGCTCGGCGACGAGTCGACCAACCTCGGCCAACGCCTCCGAGGCAAACGGCGCCAGCTTGTAGCCATACTCCTTGTGGCTCGCAAACGGGAACATCTCACTGCTCAGCCGCATGAACCTGATCCCATACTTGTCATTCCAGCGGATGATCTTGAGAAGATCCTTCGCGTTCGTGAGCCCCAGGGCCTCGACATACGCCTGCCCGCGTGCCACATCCGCCGGCTGATCGCGGTCCGGACGATTCTTCGTCGGGTGGGGGGGCTGCGTGGGATCCAGGAGAGGGTGCCGATTCTCCAGGATGGAGGCGATGCGGCAGGTTCGCGAGCAGAACACAGGCGGGTTGGAGTAGCGCAGGTATGTGTTCAAACAAGCCTAGGCAAATATGTTAGAGGATGAATGACAGACACACGCCGGACCCAGACAGCGGGAAGACTCACATAGCCCAATCGCCCTTTCCAAGGGAGGGGCAGGTAGCTGCTGTGGACGGGCGGAGGCCGCGACAACGCGTCCTGCAGCTCTTCCGCTTCAACCGGGACATCTTCATCCGACTCCGGATCCAAGGGGACAGCAGGAGAAGCAGCAGTGGCAGTATCACTCGTCTCAATGGACCCGGGTTCAGCTTTGATGCCCGATTTCTCTGCGCCGTCAGGCAGACTGCCGCCCGCGCCATCGGGGTTTATCTCAGTGGCGGCGGCCATTTCTTCAGCAGCCTGGGATTCGAGAAGCTCACTCGAAGCTCCGGATAACGAGCGAGACGGGATAAAGGTTGCAACAATGGATGGGGTCACAATGCGTGACGGGGAGGTAGAAGAGAGGGAAGGTGTGACAGGTCTGCTCGAGTACGACAAGAGGCGCCTGCCAACAAGAAAGCCTAGGAATCGGTAGGATCTCTGCGATTGTGTAATTGCGAAAAGCAAATTCGCCGCTGATGGGGTGTGGCGAACCTGGCGGGACGAGCCAGAGCCAGATTCCTGGCCGCGTCCGGCATATTGGAGAGCGCGATCGATCCTCCACTGCCTGGGCGAAGAAGACCCCCGCCAATACATCTAGCAGGGCAGGAATTCTAGAAAAAAGAATTCCAAGGCTCTAAGTGAGACAAATCCGAAGGCGCATCGTCAAAAAAAGGACAAAGAAATCTAGACAAAACAGGTCTGTTGGGCAAGGATCCCATGCATCATCATGGTTGCGCAGGGATTTAATCGGGACAGAATGCGGAGGGTATGATGCAACGGAGTGTCAAGGAAGAAAAGATGGGTTGGGGTTCGAGGATCGAATCTGGGCTAGACGAGAGAGAAGCCTTAGGCAGGGCACTACGGAGCAGTCACGGGCACTAAGCATGGTTCGGCGCCGCGGTTCCTGCATCCCGCATCGATCGCCGATAGACCAAGTCTTAAGTAGATCCAGTACAACACTGACAAATTACACCGCAGACGCCAAATGGCGCCTTGAGAGAATGTCTCGTCTACAACTATGATTTGAAACTATTGTTGAGAAAAAAAGTAATTCCATTTTCGTACATGATAGAACAGCCAACCAAAGGGAATTTTGGGGGGTAAATGGCATTATACTATCAAGGTCGCGCGGATATCTGCGCAAGCAGCTTCAGGTCGATAGTTCTAGGCCACCGGAATCCCCGTCATGAGCGAGACGATCCCCTTGGGACCCAGAACATCCTCCAGACTGAACCAGTAATCTATCAGCGCGTCCGAATCGCCCGCATCATACGCCACATCATCCTGGCTAGGCTTCTTGTTCTTGCAGAACACGCGCAGCTCCTTGCAGGTCACACCCCCATTCTTCTTTAAGTAGTCCCGCATGACGTCGCCCGCGCTCATGACAATACGACTCACCGGCTCCTCCCCTTCGCCGACTCCCAGTCCCATCGCGCGTCCATACTGGGTCGATCCTCGCGCAACGTGATGGATGAGGAGGACAATGTTGGAGGCGAGAAGCTGCAGGATGTCGACGTTATGGGAATTTGACCACTTTCGGGTGAGGCTCAGTTCCGGGTTGGCTCCCTGCTGAAGACCCTTCTTGCTGGACGATGATTCAAGCTTCGATTTTTGGGAAAGTTCGTCCAGGATGCTGTCGATGTGCACAATCCCGACATCCTTGCCAGGACTACCGCCACTAACGTACTGGGTGAAAAACAAGTTCGCGACAGTAGTGGTGGGCTTGAGCATGCGAGCGTTCTTGCCATCGGGCTTATGGAATGGTCCGCTACCCCGCGAATCGCGGGCGAAATGGGTTGCGGACAAGATGCCGGTGGCCAGCTCAAACCTGTCCAGAGATTCGCTGGCGTTCTTGGGCGTGCACCCACGAAAATATGTGACTTGCCATGAATCTTGACAAACGCATCCATGTCAGGCCATCTCAGGTCGCTGTGCTTGGAATTGATTAAGATGAGGTTGTGCAAGAAGGCCAGCTGTTGAACGTCGTACCACCATGTGACAAGCTCCTGGCCCACACGCTGCATTCGAACATTGAGGTGGAACATGATCAAGCCGCAGAGAATAGCATGCTGCGAGAAGAGTTCATGCTACTCAGCCGGATTGCCAACTCTGTCCAATTTGGAAAGGGCTCGAACGTCGAAGAACACATCTCCTTTGATCCATGCATCCACAGTTGGACTTATGTTTCGAATCTCCTCGTCACCCTCCTTGGGCCAGAAATTGGGCTGAGGGTGTGTTTTAGACAATTGCAGGTGATCATCGATGGTCTTCTGGATGCGAAGTCCAGACATGCGGAGATCTCCAGAGGCGCCCGAGGTACAGTGTCGCATCGCGTGGGGAACGTCGAGGAAGATCTGGGCGGCAAAACAGAGCCATAGACTCACCCTTTTGGTCTTGGTGAACTCATTCAGGCCCCGAGTGATTGCATCCTCGGCAGGCAAGTGGATGCCAGACGTATCGAACATGCAAAATTTGGGCAACATCGAGAGAAGGATGATCTTGTCTTCGTTGAACTTCTCGCCCAGAGACATCCGCTCCCTGTCCGCTTTCGGATCATCGATGCCATCTGTAAGAAGTCAGGTAGCATGCTTGCGATACTCCGGTTCCAGAAGCAAAGAGCCCTCTGGGATGAAGAAAAGGAATGGAAAATGGTGTGGAGGTGGAATGAACTGGGGTGTGTATTCTTAAACTGGAAATGCTTGTTTGCTCCGACCAGTTGTAAAGAGGCGGACACCGCGAGGACGCGTGCGCGCGACACATCAGAATTAAAGTGGCTAAAGTACAAGTGGGGTGCTCGGAAAGCCGCACAAAGGTTTAAAGAAGGTGTATTATAAGACATATATAAAAAAGAAATTAGATCGGTAATAATTGGTATACAAAACCGTGCTGATGGTGTCAAGGTTGGTATAAGATGAAAGAATGAGCTTCATTCTGTCACTCCCAGTCATCCACTCAAGTCAAACGTGAAGGAAACTCGGAAGTTTTATAGTCATGAAAAATGCCATACCACGTGGTTCGAATGGCATCCCCAAAGTTTCGTTGTCTCATCATGTTCGTCCACGAAGCAGCTAGTTCCTCCTCCTTTGCGGGGCTCGCGCCCCAATGTAAGTATGAGCGAACCGACCACACGATGCAGGGAAGATAGTGCAGTGTGTCTAGTAATTAGCCGAATAAGCAGAATTGCCATAGCCATAGCCAGGAGGAGCTGCGGCCGCCGGCGCGGTGTGCTTGTTGCGCGTAAACAGACGACCCGTACCGCTGGTCTTCTCGGTGGGAGAGGTTCCCAGCTCAACGTCGCGGGGTGCCGGATGGCTGGGGAGCATGTCATCCGCACTGGCAGTCTCAGGGTTATTCTTGTTGCGACGCCAGAAGTAGCCCCGGCGCTCCGTGCCGGTGCCATATGTGTACCCGTTGGCGGGGGAGGGGCCGAAGCGCTTCTCGCGCTTGTGATGACGGGCGAGAAGGACTTGGAAGAGGATGGAGATCAGGAAAAGGAAGCTATATTCATTTCAAAGTTAGTACACATATATTTCACTCGATGACGCCCGAGGAGAGAGTAGGATAACTCACATTCCAATGATAGCGACAGCAAATGAAGCCTTCCCCAACACGCACGCATATCCAAGGCGCACGTGAGTGTTGGCGTCGTCGGTATTGCTAGCACCGGAACCCAGCGGAGTGTCGACGTTACCGGAGCAGCTCTGGGTGCCTTTGCGAGTCATGATGGCGATAGCAATCATGGCTCCGATGAAGCAGACATCGAGGAGGACGGCCACGGCAGCAAAGAAAGTGACTCCGCCCAGGCAGCAGGTGAGAAGAATGCCGAGGATTCCGTAGAGGGTTGCTGCACCCGATAGGCCCTCGACGGCCTTTATCCACTGAGGAATCGTCTGATCATGCCGGGCGAGAACAGCGAGGAAGTATGAGAAAATGCCGAGGATGACTGCTGCATCGAGGAACTGGAGGATGCGAATCGCTAGATTCGCGAAGCGAAGGATGACACCGCCGACACCCATGCTGGCAGTCGATGGTTCCTGCTTTAGGTGTTTTTAAATAACAATAGGCTTGTTGATTGTATATAATGTATCAGGGCAAACCACTGGCCTGTAGTGTATTGCCCGATTGGATTGGAGTTTGAAGCTAGTGAACAACTTGGAAGTCTCGAGGCTTTTCAAGCTGAAATGCAACAAGTTTAGGAGGGCACAGGCTGTGATATACTGACTGAGGGGGGAAGAATTTGCAACGGCCTGCCCCGGAAGGCAGCAAAATTGCATTGTTAGCAGGCCCAGGGGACGGGGGAGTGTGTGGCAGTAGACGATCAGTGGATGCAGTGGAGGTCATGTCCCGTTGAACCGCGGCCGGAAAGCGTCGGCGGAGCTTTCACAGGCCCTGTAAAGAGGGGAAATGAACGCATTGCGACGATCCCACGGACAAGGTCCAGCAGTGGAAGCTCAATCATTGGCTTTGAAGGATGTATTAGGATGTCACCAGCCACACTAGACATCCAGACCCTGACGGTGGTGATATCATCGGGGTGGAGGGTGGAGGAGGGTGGAGCCGGCCCATTGGCGGGTAGACGCAGGTCTAAGCCCTGTACGTACAGAGAGTACCCTCTCGTGCACCGCCATCTGCCCAGTTGACTGGGTGGAAAAATGTTAATGTTTCATTTTGGGTATAAGCTCTTCTATGGACGGCTTCGCCGGATGTTCCATTAATAGAGTACTGAGTAGTTAATTTGCCAAAAGAAAAAGCTAATTAACTGTCTCTATTCTGGGCAATGAACTGCCATTGTTTGTTTGCCTTGGACACGGCGGGAATTCCACAGTACCGAGGACCAGTCCCAGGGATAGACAGAGGCAATCCACTGGAACCATATACCACAAAAAGAAAACCAAGAAGTCAAAAAAGCTGGTCCCAGAGGGGGTCGAACCCTCGACTTTAACGTTATTAGCGTTACGCTCTAACCAACTGAGCTATGGGACCTGGTTGATGTATAGAACCTCGAGCTTGGGCTACATGAAGATTGCATATTGGGGACGTCGCTCTCATGACCATCTCATTCTATACGTCATGGCGAGGCAGAGCCTGGTCCTGCGTAAAATGGAAATGGCCCAGATCCAATATCATCACCATCATGCCGATATATTCAATAAGTCAATAAGTCACCCAGGGCAATGTGTGCCGATACCACACCGCTGCGCATTTCATATTGTGCACCTATGATTTAAGGTAAACGTTGAATTGGGTATATATAGATTGTCTGGCAGAAGGATAGCCCGGATGCCGCTGTGGTGACGCCGATTGCCCCATCAAAGCCCAAATGCCCGCCTAATTTCAAACACTCAAAAGCGAAACCAAAGCCCCACGGTAAAATCAATGACGCATCGCTGGCCGCCTTTCATCATCACCCATCGACGAGACAGATGAAATCTCATCGAGACTCGCGCGGTGAACTAGGGATGGCCCTCTACTGTATCTCGAAATCTCAGAGATAGTGTCATCCAGGGGATGGTCGAACGGGGATGTCGGCCGCTCACGCCTCGACACCTGCCGTGAAGGAACGTCGGTACTCGTAACGGGTGATATGTCTACCTCCGCACGCTCCGGATGCCTGGAATATGGCGGTGGCTGTTCCAGTGTGGTGTTGATACCAGGTGTCAGGCTGTGTTGACTAGCAGGCGCGTCCAGGCTGCGTGACTGGCTTGTAGCGAGGTGGTCACTCGAGTGGTTCGAGGTGTCGTATGGCATAGGTCCCGTGAAGGGAATGTTATGGGTACTAGCGTTTGTGAATCCCCAGGGTGTCGCTTGAGGTGGTGGCGATCTCGGTAAGTTCTGCTGCGGTTGGGGTAGTATTGGTTGTCGAGGGACGGTTACTACATCGACCTGAGAGGCAGATGGGATGGCATGGCCTCGAAGGCGACGGCGCCTCCGTCGGAGGAGGAACAATAGCAGCCCAAAGATGATGGCTGTGCCCGCAACAGCAACAGGGATGGCGATGGCGAGGGTTCTGGTGTTATTGTTGCTGCTGCTGCTGCTGCTGCTGCTGCTAGCGGAAGAAGTCGACGTGAAAGACGTGGTTGTTGATGCTGTAGGTGATGGAATAGTGGTCTGGGTGGCTGTGAGAAAAGAATCGGCTGCTGTGGGTGTTGTCGCGCTGGCGGTAATAGACTCCGAGGATGCATTTCCCCCGGCTTGGGATGTGCTGCCACTGCTGCCGCTGCTGTCGTTGCCTTCCCGACTGCCTTGACTGCCATCCTGAGATCCACCCGTGCTATCTCCCCCTGACCACTGGCTTCCACTATCTATTCCAGACATGACAGCAGTGATTGAATGGCCTAACCATCCGCGTCTGTCGTCGTTGACTGTGCAGAATCGCCCAGCAAGGTGGGTAAGATAAGCCAAGCCAGATCGATAAGTATGATTTAGCACCACTGAGAGACTTTCCAGTATAACTCAACGCGAAGAAGCCTGGAGGCAAGTGGAGACCCAAGATCCTAGGTCAGTGTTGAAGGTGCACACAGACTGAACACACCGTTAACGTCTCAACACGCGTCTGAAGCCAGACATATCAACATACCAAAATCCAATACAAGGATCAAGAGACTGTGAACTGAAAGAGCCTTCCTTTCTGTTTAGATGCTTATGTCAGTATACTGTACCTGGCCAAGAAAGAAAACAAAGAACCAGCATATACTAACCACAATGAACACTTATGCCCTTATTAAAAGCCCGGACAGAAAGTCTCTACAATAATATCGAGCAAAAAAAAGGGCGAAAACTACAGGAGAAGAAGAAAAAAAAAGAAAAAGAAACGAAAATCGGCAACAACAGGATAGAGAGAAAAAAAAAAAGAGAGAGAGCTGACATGGCGCAGCAGCAACCTCTTAGTGAACGAGGTATAGTACTATAACCTAAGGCCCAACCTCGAGGGCTAAGGAAGTACAGCCCGCGCCCGCCTCCCCATGGTAGGGACCGGCCTACCAATCACCACCAGCTCTGCACGGCGTAAAGCGCCGGTTCATGCCATGGACGACGCGCAATGCAATAAGAATAATAATCTGCCCGCTCACAAGGGTGAAACGAACAGCATTGTTAGCCCCATCCCCCCCTCCTTCTCACCAGTTGGATGATTGGCGCCGAAAGCTTGTTGGGAGCAGAAGAAGATGTACTAGGTAGGGTACATGTACAACTGGCACATGCTAGGGTTGAAACCGTGGGCAAAAACCGGTCGCCCTGAGGAATAAATGGAAACAAAGGAATGCTTTGCCTCCATACTCATGTGTCAATGAGCGCGTGGGAGTTGTAGGTCAATTATGGGTGGGTGGATGAATGAATGGATGCTCCACCGAATAGCCCGATCGACGCATTAGCTTAAAGTGATGGGGGTCTGGAGACGTCGGCGCATTGCGTGGCCCTGATATGCCCTGGATTATGGGGCCTCTTTTGAATCGGTTGTGATCGCACGGTCTATGCGGGGCGATATTATCGTTTAATCTTCCACATGGAAGTTGAGGTTGAAGACTAGGATACAAGACTCAGATCCAAACTACAGTGCTTTGTATCGCATACGATTTGGGTGAGAAGCAATAATCTGGAAAGAGGGTGTAAGCTTGATTTGTTGTTGTTGTTTGACCACTCCGTGTTTCACGGCTGCCTTCCGCAATTACGCCAACACAGCCACCCAAGGCTGCATTAGGAGGATGCACTTGCACTTGACCTCGGAAATGTGGAATTCCTTCGAGCTTAGTTCACTTGAATAAGGCTCTATGCACGCTATGCCTACAGTGGAAAAAAATCGATCAAAAGCCATCGATAAATCGCTCTATTTTCCAATGCGCATATATACAGTACACTTAAAAACTTTTAGATCTATACATTTATCGCCCTTTCCCATAATCAGGCGTGTAAGCCTTGACCTTGCCTTTCGTCAACTCTCTCAACGCCATAGTAGCATACTGGCTCGACCCAAGCTGGAACTTGAGCACCACTGCGAGTTTGCTCTCCCCCTGTTCCTGAGCAGCAGCAGCAGCAGCAGCAGCAGCAGCCTCCTCAACACTAGCACCATCCTTGCCCTGACCCTGAAGTCTTTCCAGATCGGTCGCCACGAACTGCTCATCATCCCTCTCGTAGACCTTCACATCGACCGAATAGTCCGGCCCCATGCGGTTCAAAAGCTTGCGGTATCCGCCCGTTAGACTCACGTCCTTCCACTTCCGGCGCATATCGAAGGGATCAAGGCCACCGCCTTGCTCACTGCCCATGAACTGCTTGTAGAAGTCCGTCATGGCGTTGGCCGGGTACAGCACATCGTAGCCGGGGAGCGTCAACACGACGTCGAAGATGTTGTATTTGCCGCTGGCGGCTTCCTCGGCGGTAAGGGCGCGGGCGCGCGTGATGCCCTCGGCTGCGTAGGCGCTGTCGCCGGTCGCGTGGGGGGTGATGATGACTTCGCCGTCGGCGTCAACGGTCTCGGCCGATTCGGTAGTCGCGGCTGCGGAAGCGCCGGTGGCGTTGGCGGAGGAGGAGGTCTTGTCGGTGTGTTCGTGGATCAGGACCAGGTCGCCTTCGACGACCTTGTCGCCGTACAACCGCCAGCGTTCGGTGGCAGCGAAGTTCCACACAAACGACTGGTAGGCGTGGACATACATCAGGCGCAGGTTACGGGGCACAGCCTGTAGGGCGCCGAGGTAGTCGGTCTTAGAGCGACCCAGTTGGCGCATGATGTTGGCCTCGGCGGAGAATTTGCGAGGCAGTTTCTCGAGCGCTTTGCCGGCGTTGGCGGTGGTTGTGTAGATGTGAATTGCTTCGGCGCGCGCGCGGTCGTCGGAGCTGATAAGAGCGGAGGCGGCTTCTCCCTGTTGCGCGGCTTCTAGGGTGTGCGGGCTGTAGTGGAGGATGGCGTCGCAGGCGCCCTTGAAGTCGCCTTGAAGCATCTTGACGCCGACGGTGTCCGTGCGCGTGGCGTAGGTTCCAAAGCGCTGCAGACCGAAGTAGTTGAAGTAGCCTCGTTCGCGAAGGTTGTGGAGGGCAGTCTTAACAAGGTCGGTGGACTTGGCGATGGCGGCTTCGCGGTCCTGAAGGTCGACGACTCCGGGAATTTCGCAGTCGCGGAGGGTGATGACGAACTCGTTGCCGTCAAGGTCACCCAGATCGAGACCATACTTGCGATACTCGAAATCACCGAGGACTGCGTTACGGAGAGTAGAGTTGATTTTCTCCAGCCGCTCGGCCTGTAGTCGGTATGCACATGCCCTCTGGACCGTCACACCGCGTCGATCCTTGGTACCGGCGAACTGGAAGGTCTTCGAGTTCACTTTGAGCTGGCGTCCGATAAAGTTCAAAATCTCCATGGTATCTTTGTTCTCCTTGTAGATGGTGAAGTGCAGGTAGGGGCCGCCCAATTCATCCCAATTGATTGGCACACGCGGCCCGCCGTTGCCATTGCCGCGGCCACCCTGCGCCTTCTTGTTGTTTCGGTTCGGAGCGACAGAGATGTTCATCATGCCCTCACTGTCGGTCTGGGACTCAAGCTGAGAGTTGAAGATGCGACGGATGGCCTGGTGCATCTTGATCCGCAGATCACGATCGGTGACCACAACGGTAGCGATCTTGCTGAAGTCGCTGGGCCTCGACTTCGGGTTCTCAAGAGCACGCTTGTTCAGCGCCAGAATCTTCTGTGTGGGTTCCTCGCCGAAAAGGGATTCGAGAAGCGCGTTATCTTCGTCGCTGATCTGGAATTCGGGGGTCGGGGTTTCGGTGGTCGGTGTCGCATCTTTCTCAGCTGGGGCTTGGGCGTCGTCTTGCTGCTGGGGCTTTGCGACTGGCTTCTCTGAGGGCTGTTCCTTCTTGTCCAGCTTGTTTTCCTGGACGGGAACGTTCTGCAGATGCAGCACTTCACCGGACGGCACAATCTCGTTCACGAGGAAATCGGTATATCTAGATACGAGGAGATGCAATTAGTGACAGCCCCAGACAAATCATGAAGGAGCCAGTGTATACCTCTTCTTCAAGATCCCGGAGAACCCTACGTTGTCCGCACTGACATAGCCGGTGATTCCAACCTCAATCTCCCTCCGAGCCTGCGCATCGTCGGCCGAGACTGGCGCGGCGGCGGGTTCCTCCGCAACGGGTCCGCCAGCCTGGGGAAGCACAGCGTCGTCCGTGATGGATACGTTGTCAGTCTTGATCCGCTTGCGCGGCGACTCAATCACGTCGGTGCCCTCCATTGCAATGGCTGCTTTGCAGATAGAAATATGGCGGAGTTGGACACCGGGCTTAAAGTCATGAAGATTGCGGAGCTCCAGAAAGTTACCGTCACGTTTTGCCTTGGCTGAATTGAGTTAGAGCGCGGGGGCTAGCCCTAAAGGGAAATCCCGATCGGGATGAATTATAGATCGGTCTAGTCCTCGGCGGGCAGATGTATAGACAGCTACTCCGTAGGGAGTCGTAGTTTACACGTCCTTGAGTATCTTTATTTGTAACGTGGAATCGAGTTTTATACCACAACAGTGACATTTACACCACGTGACCTGCGTAGTACTATAGCAGCAACTGGCTTAGAAAGTAGACTATCGGCTCACACTGGCGAATATATAGATATTTTGAATTTAGGCTGCTTATCTGCAACGGTGCAAGAATGATGAATATACGCAGAACTTGGGTACTCAGTACAATCAGTTATTCAAGTCTAGCTCATCTATAAGCTGGCTCATTGAAATGCGTGAAGTAGAAACCGTTGCTATTATGTCCAGATCGTCTTGAACCCTCAAACACTATGCAAAGCAAACAGCCCAGAGACATGAGCACGGGTAGTTAATTCATACTGGTATACATTACTTACATACATCATATGTTCTGCAAAGACATGAGAGCCAAGAATCAGAAGTCAAAGAAGAGAAATATGCCTATAAACCACCAAGGAATCTAATACACCCCAAGCCAACTCCATAACAAACCTAAAGAATTATCTCCTCTCCATTCTCCCAGAACAAAGGCTTTCACCTGACGGCACATAAGTCAAAGCCAAACAACATCAGTAATACTCCAGTAAGCCCCTTCAGCATGTGATCAAGAAGAAGAATCAGTATTAGATGCTACATAGCTCGCCCAAAACGAAATCCAATATAAATAAGCCCTCACACTCTCTTTACCCCCGTCTTCCCATAAGGAAACCAGTCCAGAAAAGTTGCAAGTAAGAAGAAGAGACCCGTAGCGTACATATCATGTTAGTCCCAACCCCAGACCAGCTACAGCGTAGCGAGCGCTTCCGTCAGGCCGGGATGGTCTGGCACCTAAGCGAGTTGGGCAAGGAGCAAATCACCGTGCCCGTCTCATTCATCAACTTCAACATCACAGCAGACAATGACGCCCACATCGTGCAGCGCCGGTACTTCGTCGCCGCGCGCGAGCAGCTCGAGCGCCGCTTGCTCGCGTGTATCACCTCGGGACACGAGCCCCCCATGCCAGTGCTCAGGATCTATCAGCCCCCGCCTCTTGATTCTTGTTCCGAATCGTCTTCAGGCTCTAAGGAGAGTGATGATGATGACGATGAGGAGGAGGAGGAGGAGGAGGAGGAGGGAGAGGGGGGCTATGAGGCTTGTGATGAGAAGAGCGTAGAGGGTTCTAGCATTCACGGCGTCGATCGCGATGTTGACGACGGTGAGGATGATGGCTTCGATGAGCTAAGCGATTTCACCGTTCGGATGGAGTTCGTAGTGGAGGAGACCGTCCATGAGCCTGTTGAGGTGCTGCGGGAATTAATCAAGCATGTTGATCGGATTGTTAGAGTGATTGACAGCACGAGACAGCGTGTTTGGCCTCCGCACGCGGCCGGTCTAGGGCTGGTGTCGGCTCGGATTGTGAAGGATGGGCTGCCGATGCAAGAGGAGCAGGAGGTTGATTCCGAGTGGCCGGCTGACGAGGAGGAAGACTACTATTCTTCCAGATGTGAGTCCTCCGGTGACGAAGGAGAAGAAGAAGATGCCGAGTGGACGGAGGATGATGCGTCCTTTGACGAAGCAGAGGAGTGCTGTCCTAGCGATTCGGAACGCCTTGGTGATAATAATGACCCCGAGAGCGCCGACGACAGCGAGGACGAAGAGAATCCCATCATCTACAGTGATGACGATGTTGTGCCGCTCGATGTTAACGAGGACGCGGTGCAAGCACGCCTCGCTTGGCTCCTGCAGGGTGCGATGAAGTCGAATCCTAAGCTGCCAATGTAATCTTCCTTCGACTGTCTCTTGATTCCTTCACCTGGCCTGTTCACTTTCTAAGTTGTATTCTTGTGCACTCTTGCTCCGGTTTTTGGGTGTACAAAGATCTTATTCAATGTAGAAAATTCTAGATCAAAAGTTTGTTTTGGTTTCATGTAGATATAAAGCTGATGATGCAAAACCAAAGTGTCATTAGCCTGAGCTTGTAGTAGATTCTAATCAAGTACACAGTGTACCCCCCATAAAGCGTCATGTGCATCCCCAACTCCATAGGCAGAAACAAAAAGCAACTAGAGGTATCATCTATGCGAGGTGTTGCGACCTCTCCCAAGTCTAATGCTAAATATAAGAGTTGATCCGAAAAGCAAATTCGTCGAGCACGCATGAAATCAGAAACAAACCGACAAAAATCCTATAGCGGAATGCAGAGGATCAAAAGATTCAGAACACGGGCAGACGAATATCATGTTGCTCGATTCCGCAACGCGAGAGCCCTTTTCAGCGTCTCTTGATCACCGCCCTCCCAAGCAGCCCGGATGGCTCGGACTAGTCCGAAGACCGCTTCGCGCGCTTCTTCCCTTGCCAGACCCGAGTGAAGAAGGGAATCGTATGGAGTCTGTGTGTGTCGGATATGCGCTTCCGCAGCCAAGATGGCCTTGCGCTTGTCCGACACGGTGGTGGCGCGTCCTACGCGCCCGGCACCTTTCAAGAAGGCATGGTTGACAATTGTCTCCAGCACGTTCTCCGGCATGAGAGGAAACTGGGTGCGGAGGAGCTGACGGGCCTTGGAAAGGTCTCGCACATCTCGACTCTGGACGGCTTGAGCGCGAGACTTGGCTGTTTCCGCTGCGGAGCTGCGGACAGACTCGAAGATATCGGATGGAACACGCAGGCCGATGGTGGACTTTCCCTTGTCGTCCTAAGGGTGTATTAGTAACCATACGGTTGCCATGGGGAAACAGAGAGGGGCAAAAGGGAGAACTCACATAAACCACATAGACAACCTGACGAGCCTCTTTGGTCTTACTGCGGCAATGACGTGTAATGTAGACATCGCCCTTGGGGACGAAAGTATAGTTCTGGGAACACGGGTCTTGACGAAGGCAGTTCTGGATGTATTTGCGTGTTAGCGATCCATACCCTTCCCAGTATGTGTCTGCGCCGGGAGCCGCTGGATCAAGATGCAAGGGCGGAGTCGCGGGCTCTCGACGACGGAGTTATAGTTCCCCTCTCCAACCTCCCTCCCCGCCCTTCACGAAAAGGGACCTTGTCTGCAATCTCACCTTTTCCAACGCATCTGAAGAAGGCGGAAGAATCGGCATCTTTCTTGACTTGGAGGGCTGCCATGCTGCCCGGAGCTGCGTCGCATTCAATTTGGTGGTGTTCGCAGCAACTCCGAAATCTCCCCGATCGCGCTTCCTCTGAAGACTCCTTCTCCGTGCTTGTGCTAGAATCCCCCGGGGCGATGCCGGACTGGCTGCCAGGCCGACACCGGCTTTCTTGCGCTTGTCGAATATCTTGGCGAGTTTGGGTCGGCCTTTCTTGGATCGAGCGTTGACTGGCATGCTGGATCAGGATGAAGGAGTCCGGAGGAGACCAAACGAATGTACAGGGTCACTGGACGCGGAACAGATAGCGGTGAATGCGAGATAAAAGTTAGGAGTCAATCAATATGCTTTATGCTCGGACGTAAGTGGTCGATCGGGGATGCAATGCTGTAATTCATCGGCGGACGGAGGATTCAATAGATAAGCGAGCGCAGGATTCAGGAGGGGTTTCGACTATAAGACGGAGGGTAGATGTGAAAGAGTGACACATCCATTGTGACGGAGTACGTGCTGTGTTATTCGGTCTTTGTTTTTCAAGGTTCCATAATGAGGTGTTCTGGCGCAAGAGACTGCGCATTCGTTCAAATTCATGAATGATGCCCAAAGAAGATGGACAGCATTCAAGCCCCCGCGGACAAACCGGCCGCATCGGAGAAAGATGTGGCGGTGAATAGGGAAGTGTGGCTGACCAGATCGGTGACCGAATGTCAAGGCACCCAGGCTGTGGGGATGGCCAACTGGTGAGCTTCGACTGGAAGGCGTATCACCGGCTCTACGCACTACCAGCGCATTATGCCTGATACTGCAGCACTAAAGAAAATGTGAGAATATTAAGCTAAGAACCAGTGTAGTACACGGCCGCAGATATGTCTTTGCTACTTAGCACACTGTCGCACATGTTGGCACTTAGATCACTCAATCGAGGCTTTCATTGTCTCTCATCTTGCAGACAAGAATAGCCGAGCAACATTTACAGCCACTGATAGGAGGATGAATACGATCGGATGGAACTGACCAGCTGAAAGGAAGTCAAAGCAATCGGTGGCCACAGATCCTAATGTGAGGCTGTTGAGTAATCGTCTTTATGCAGTTACTGTGTAGTGGTATCCTGCTGCGTTGCAATAGTTCTCCGAACATACTGTCGATGAACTGCATCAACCGTATAAATCTCCTGAAGTGACAGATCACTCAGGGCAACCAGCCGATTACCCCATGGAGCAAGAGCATATCGATAAGCTACAGATGGCTGCATGTTGCCCAACGACGTCCTGGATATTGACTACAAGGAGCAACCGATGCTTGATTACCGCGCTGACTGTTTAGCTTTGGTTGCCTGCATGAAAAGATCCGGCCACTCCACGTTCCTGTGAACGATGAAGAAGGGTTTCTCAGGCACTTCAAGACCCTAGTTGACTGACAAGGGCAAGAAGTAGTTATCTGTTTGACCCTCCTGTCTCAGAACTTGCTGTGTCTATGATTCAGCCCGCTCGTGTGTGTGTTTCGAAGAGGATTAGGGTCCTGAAGCGCTCCCGTCCTGGAAAGGCATGTACGTGCTCCCTTGCTGCTGTCTTCAACTCTAATAGAGCCGAATTGATCGTTGGGAGGGGCGCGTAAACGCACACGCTGCATTCGAGACCATGTCAGGGGCTGTGGATTTATTAAATAAGATAGGAATTTGCTGTGTCCGTCCAACTGCGTTACACGGCAGGGCGTCTTAACTACTGCTGCAGGTCCCATGGCGCGCGTGCAGGTCTAGCAGCTAAACGACTGATGGCCGGTAAGTTGGTTGGTTTAAGGGTGAAGCTGAAAGGATAAGAGTCACCAACTTTTGCCCCTTAGGCCGACCACCAATCAATAATGAATAGGATGAGGGGTGACAATCAGGGCTGAGCAGGGACATACCTAGTGCTGAGTGAGTCCGTATGTGTATGGGTGACAGAACAAGTAGACCATAATAATTCGACCAGTCCATTCATCCATCCATTTCCCGGAGGAGCACTGTTCTGCCTAGGATAGGCTCCCCTTTCCCCGTCCCCAACCCTCTTTCCGACCAATGGTGGCTCGCCAGGATCACAACCAGTCGTTGCTGTAGCAGACGGTGCAGAGCAAGTTATTCCCAAATTCACACTCCGTCGTTGTGCCCGAGATTAGTCTAGACTTAATTGGTTTGGGGCGTCTCACGCGGCGTCCGATCGCGCTGGTCGGGAGAGACTTATCCCAAAGAGGTAATATTACTTCCGGGTCGGACCTGGCCTGGACAGATTGGAGGGGTGAGCATGTCTAGGTAGTGGTTCTCCATTACTAGTACCCTGTATTTGTTGAGCTTGCTGAGAGTGTCTGCTGAAAATAAAATGCACAGATTGAAATTGATCAAACCCCTTTTATTTGTTGAGCTTGTATCCCGTTTGTATGTGTCTTATGTGTCTTAAGTGTTTAGTTGAGTCAGTGGATGATTGTGTCTACGTTTTCTGTTACCACGCCTCTCCCGAGACGGAGTGGATGGCTGCAGCGGAGAGACGAAAGGCTAGCCTCAAGAATGGTCTAGCTGTCCAAGTTCAGGAGTTGGCATAATCAGGGCCACATCTCTGACTTTAGTGACCACCATGTCGTCATTGCTGTCCCGATTCAGGGCCAAGACGAACCGAGGAAAGGAGATTAATCTCGGACAGTTCGCGCTCGCTCCGTCTCTGCTCGTTGCTCCAGCTCCCCAACTCCCCAGCACTCACCTAGCTACAGCCATAGTTGTGCATGGAGCTGAACGAAACGGCATTCCTAGTAGGCTCGTGGTCTAGTCCAGCCGAGTCGAGTCGAATCAAATCAATCAAACAACCCCAGGACGTCCGAGGGTCATTTAGTCTAGTACGTAGTGTTCAGGAACGGGTTGCAAGGCTCCATCTACTTCCCCCACCCTTTACCCCGTCGCCTGATGTAGGCTGAATTGACAACAGCCTGGGAAGGGAGTCTTCAAAGTCAACCTTGTCGAGAGATCTCAAACTCCGAGATGGAGTGGGGGTTAATCAGGTTAGGATCGATCGACGGCGGCTCAAGGCCGGCAGAAAGCTTCAGCGGGAGGCATACCAATCTGAAGATGGGCAAAATAGGCAGAGACTCGATACTGTCGCTTGCGAAATCTAGATCGGGAGTGCTTCGAATGTTCAACAGAAGGATTGATAAGAGTGTCAGCTCCCAGTACAGCAGCTGAGCCAGCCAGCCAACAATTGCCAGCAGCGATCGTGCGGGTGAAGGAAATAAGACGATCCACGGGAATTGGCCCGTCGTTCCTTGTTCTGGAAACTCCACGGGCGCTTTGAACCCCCTAGAGATGTAGCTTCGTCCGCGTAATCGGTGGGTGGCCATGATATTCTTGATTCTTCTTTCTTTACTTCTTTACTGCTGAGTTGCCGGTCTGGGGAATGAATGAGGCGGGTATTGTTCTAACTGGGGGTGCATTGATCGTTCGGGGCCAGCCCCGGAAATCCGTATATGATCCCGCGGAACCTCGATCGCTAATGGAGCACTGGGTCTTGCTGCTCTTTGCGCTGCGAACGGAGTCTATTCAGCAGTCTATGATGCCCAGTCTTGCACTCTCCTGCACTTTTCCTTGTCCTCATGGCATAGTATAATCACAAGCTTGCCCGAGTGAGCCGGCCGAGAGATAATCTTTCCATCAAGATGCCAAATCTCTGCCACTACCGGATAGAGCGTGGAGGAAGATCGGGAAGGAGCATGCTGGTTGGAAGACCCTGAATGATGATGATAATAATGACGAAAGTACTATAGAGAAAGATGACTGGAAGACTAGCAGCTCAAAAGCTCGAGTGTCATATAGTAGAGACATGACTGAACAAAATTGCAATGGTAGCACAACCGGTTCTGGGGTTCTTCATCATTCCGTAGTCTCTTTTTTCTTCATTGAAAATGGTTCCCCAGTGGATCTGCGGATGTATGTAAAAAGAAAAAAAAAGAGGGCAAGAAAAAAAAAAAACTGTCAAATTATTACCAAATTACAAACAGAGGAAAACGAAAACACAAAATTCAATTTCCTAATCTTGATCACTCTGGCAATTGCTTCCCTTTCTCAATTCGATTACTTCCTTCCAATTTGAACCACTTCCCTCCTTGACTGTCTCCTTGGGAACGAACATACAGTAGTTAGTTAACGTTAACTACAGTTCACTGCTGCTACAACAACTACAACTACTACTTACTGCCTCCGGTGCAGGGACTAATTACTACCTTACTACCCACCGATTGACGAACCGAACCTCGAGAACCAAGGTCCAGAGAAGAGAACGTTACTCTCCAACTCTCCGACATTCGAAAGAAGAGAAGAGACAAGACAAATTGAAGAAAACGAACACACATTCCGTTGGAGCACCCTTTGTCCTGCAGAAGCTCTATCATTCTTGGAACCTTTCTCTTCTTACTCTTCTTACTCTTCTTACTCCTACTACTAAATTACTTCCCCCTCTCACAACCACTTAACCTCCCACCACCACTACCACCACTTCCTGCCCTTCCCTCCCTCCCTCCCTCCTCCCCTTCACTCTCATTACGACCCTCCTTTGTCCACCCCCCTCCTCTCTCTCTTTCTCCTCCCTAGGATTACTTCCGGGATTCATTTTCCTGCCTCTCCTCCCGAATCGACTACTATGTGCTAGACCGTCAAATCCTCCTTTCCCGTCCGCTCAGTCCTTCGAGGGGTCCCAACGCAAAGCTCGAGTTCTATGACCCCGGACAACTTCGCATTCGTCGGCAATTTCGATCCCTACCGAAACCCCTCTCCCCGAACATTCCGGACGACTCGCAAACATCTTGAAAATTTCTGCGAGAGGGTTGCCTGGCAGCTTTGCAATTGAATGGTTGCTGGGATCACAAAGTTGCTGACATGAGTTGGGATCACCCCGTTCACAGGTATGTGGGATCTGGTTCATTCAATCCTCTAGTCTCTCTCTCTCTCTCTCTCCTACACTTACGGCACCACGGGCTGGCACAAGTGGGGTTGCTTTGTCTTCTTTATTCCACTCCACCTCACTGGAAAGCCACTTATTCAATACTTGTGCTTGCGTGCTTGTGTGCTTCAATTCCGCATCCCCCCGCTTTCTATGTGTAAATAGTTGGCCCATATATACAATTTGTCCTCTCTGGCTGGCCCTAGGCTGGTTCCGCGGAGCTTTCAGTCGAACCTCCGCAATTCCCCCCCGAAGTAGCCGCTCAGGTGCACAATGATACTGACGGAGCCGTCCTTTACGTTCAGCTTCAGCTATCCAAACGGTGAACCTCAGACCCCAACGAGGACTCCTCCGACGACCACAATCTTCGGTGATTCGGCCTTTCAGACCCCCAAACTCGAGTCCAGCTTCTTCGATCCCCGAGTCACTTGGGACACCTCCGATCCCTATGCCTCCAGTCCGGAATTCCTCCGGACACCCCAGAAGTTCGGTATAAGCACCCCTTCGATCAATCCTCTCCGATTGCCAGACACTGGGCCCGACCGATCGTTAGATGCAGACCCCAACTTGAGGAGCGCCAAAGCGGCGGAGCAGGACACAGATACAGCGAAACGACACCGGCCGTCCAAAGCCAATGGGTTTATCGGGGAGGACGGTCCGCAGACGGTAGACTCGGCCAAGTCTGCCGCCACCATACAAACACCACCGCCTAGCAGCGCTTCTCGAAAGAAGATGACCGAGTATGGCGAAGGCAAGGGCACTGGGCGACGGACCTCCGCTTCCAGTGCGGTGGGCGGTCATCTGGAGACTCCCAGCCGGATAATGGGTGCCTCGCCTCAGTTGTTCAATTTCACCTCCTCCCCAGATCCGTTTCAACTGGGATCGATGAATCCCTCCGCATCCCCTCTATTCCCGCAACAGAGACTTTTCTGGGATCATGACTTGGGAAATCATGGGGTAGGAATGGGTCTTTCGACCAGCGGTGTCGATCTATTCGCTCCGCAAACCAGTGGCCCCTTCCAGCTCAACCCTCCACCTCTGCAGGATGCCCATATCCCTCAGTTGCCCACCATCGAGGGTGGTATGGAACTTCCAGAGTTCAATACCAACGGTTATAACTTATCGTCAACCACCACAACCGACGCCGCACTGTTCCCTGCCCCATTCTCTACTTCTCCTCGTCTACCGATCACAAAGGCTGAGGATCCAGCCATGTTTCTCAGCTCTCCGGCACGTCGTTTTGGGGGACCCCAGCCGACTCCCGAGAAGAGACTCTTCGGTCGGCCTACCCGACAGCCCTACCATCATCAGACCGAGGAGTCGAAGCGGGAAGAACTCCGCCGGGCACAGAGTGTACACCACCCGCTCGCCGCGTTCGATCACGAAGAGGACGATGACTACACTCCCCGACAGACCCGGCCGACGCTGACCCGTAGTGTCACTCACACAGCTATCACGTCTTCTCGCCCAGCTGCTGGGAGCACGATGTCTTTGGCGAATGGCATTCGCAAAAGCCCATCGAAGGGCCGCCTATCACCCGTCAAGTCGATGCGGCAGTCGATGCCCCGCTCAACGTCTGCGGCCAGTATACCTACACGTTCTCAGTCAGTGGTTCTCCGGATCGGACGCGACGGTCGAGCTAAGACCGAAATGCAGCCCGTGCAAGAGGCAGCGACTGGATTGACAGACCCCATCACCGCCATGGACTTGGAGGGCTCCACAACAGAGAGCGAGTACGAATCGGTCGATTACTCCGAATACCCCATCATCCCTAGTCGCAACCCCTCATTCGCATTCTCAGACGCTGGAAGGTCAGTGACGGGCCGTAGTGATTCGGGTTCACGGCCTCACTCAAAGGGCTCCTACACCTCGACGGCAGCATCGTCCCAGTCGGGACGGATGTCCCCTTGGAATGGATCTTCTCGCGGACTTTCCCGCCGACCCCAGTACAAACCTACTCTGGATGACTGGAAACGGACTCCCAAAAGACAGACCGGCATGCTTCACTCAGATCTGTCTTGTCTGAGTGCCGGATCGCTGGGAGAGCCCTTCGATGATGTGGATGAGGATAGTGGCGATGCTCAGCATGCCCTGCGGAAGGTGTTGCAAGAGCGTGGCCGTCCGCTTCGACCTCACACTGTCAGCTACAGCTCGCGGATAGGTCGTGCCAATCGTTCTCTGGCTCACCTTCGGTCGTCACCGCCGCGATTTGGAGCCGAACTGGATCTCGCTACGCGGACTATGAACACGTCTCCTACAACGATGACGGACCCTGACATTGCAACCCCGATCACAGATCGGTTCAGTAACCCAAGCAGGGGAACCAGGTGTGTTTGCAATTCCATGGACAACGGTGGTCACCTGATGATCCAATGGTAAGTAGTCCTGAACACCATAGCAGTCTTCTCCTAGCCTGACTCCGGGACAGTGAATCATGCAGTCACTGGTTGCATACCAAGTGTGTTGGTCTTGAGCGGGCCAATCTCCCCTCTGTTTATGTCTGCGTCTTCTGTGTTGCACAGACTCCCACTCGGAAGAATAATCGTGCTCGAGTTCCTGTGGGCGGAGTCGGCCATGGTCCCCCCTCACCCTTGGCCCACAAGTCCTACCGGTTCCGTTGAAATGCCATGGACTCGAATACGCTGGTACGACTTGCTTTCTGCACTCCTCGACATCAACCTACCTTCAATACCCTTTGTCTCCCGCTATCATAACTCATACCCATACTCCTCTCTACTCAAGGAGCAGAGAGTCCCCACTATTTTGGGTCTCCTTTGTCATTTTGTCCTGGATTTAGACATACCCCTTTTCCTTTTCTGAAACATACCATCTCCTTCCGGGCGGCTCTGTGTTTACATCATTGCAGTGATGAGGGTTACTTCCTTACTATGTTCTTAATCGTCCGGCAAAGGGCCACGTGATACCTTGTATTCTGTATGTAGCCAACGCTAATCAACCAAGAAATACACTCATGATGATGAAACAATTATTCTGCACAGCCGTTTGGATAATGCACTCGTCGCTCGCAGGAGGAAGCGCACAGTAAAGCTGACAGCAGATCACTGCTATGAATGGCCACTGTTCCGGTTTTGTTATCCTGTTCATATAATAGTTCCAGCGTAGGTTGGACATATCAAAGACTTATGCCTTCCAAAAAAGATTACCAGGTTTTGTAGCTATATACTTGCCCTAAATTACAAGAACTAAGTTCTGAATCTGAGAAGAATATACAGATTTAAGAACCAATCTATGATTTTAGTTATATCATGTAATATCTAAGTATTTCCCGAGGGAATCTTGCATCTTCTAGCACTGATTAGTCTTGGTTTTGACTATAGTAGACTAAGATAACGGAACAGTGTCGACCTTGTTGTTCCATTGCATCTTGACCCCTATTCCTGTCCATCCCATCCCATCACCTCCAGCCTTGATAATGCCACCGGTCACTCGCTCCACGCGCCGCAATCTTCCCACCTTTCTCCAGGAGTCGTCAACTCGCCAGTCAACCACGTCTCCGCCGCTGCGTCTCAGTGAACCCACCCGAACCGGCTACCCCGGTCTCCTCGACTGGATCACCATCACCTCGGCTCTCATCTGGGACCATGCCAAGCAGACCGATGCCATCGATGAGTTTTTTGACCAGCTACGGGGATATAGCTCGGACCACCTCCGACTCCGGCGTTCCCGCTCCCTCGAAGCCCCGAACACCGAATATCTCATGATAGGTTCGCAGACCCCGTCCACCGCACCATCTGGCCCGCCCCCCCCCTCCCCGTGGGGACATGCTAATGCGACCTCTAGAATGGAAACACGCGTCGACAAGAGCCAAGTTCATCGCCTCCGACGCCTACACCACCCTCATGAATCTCCTCGCGCAATTGACCCAGGGCCGATCCGTGCATTTCTCCCTGGTGGACTTCTCGGCCACGCGCCAGTACGCCTTCCACCTCGACCACCGGGGCCCCGTCGACCACTTCGAGCTCTTGATGGTCTACTTCCCTCGCCACCTATCCGAGCAGCAGAGCAAAGGGATCACGCACTGCGATCAACCGTTCCTCCTGCGCGGCGGGTTTCCCGGGCAGCCGTACGAGGGGATCGAGCCGCTCCCGCCGTACCAGTTGGTTGACTGGACGCGCGGATGGTTGGTGCACCCTCCTCCTCCTCCTGCTGCTGCTGCTGCTGTGGACTTCCGGGGCCATCGCGGCGCGCGGTGCCTGGTCTACTTTCTGCGGTGGAATGGGTGGGCCGGGGAGAAGAGCTACAAGTCGATCCACGAGACGCATCCGGTGGATTGGTGGGGGGAGTTTTTGGCGCGGTTGGAGGGGTTGGGGATGTTGGGGTGGGAGAGTCAGCATGTGCAGTTTTATAGATGATCACATTAGCCTTGCTGTACATATGCCGGGGCTTAGTGGGTTCTCTTGGCTTGTTGAGATGAGGATGAATACGTATGAAGGGTTGTATTGACTTATTCTTTACGGTGAAGGAGGGGTGGATGGGCCGAGGTCTTGAAGACAGGTCTCTCGATATCCTTCTGCAAGGATTGTATTCTGCGATTTCTGCGCTGGAAAGGTATTACTTCGCTTATGACTAGAGTTTCGTTAGGGTTTATATGACTTATTCTTTGCGCCAGTTTACGAGAAACAGAGAAACTTCATAAGGAGTCTTGTATGCAAACTAGATACCACAATCTCTTGGGGTAGTAAGAAAACAAGTGAATATCAAGCTAACTCCATAGTCCATCTCGAGTTGCATCCTTCATGCCTGAGGAACCTCGTCGCGATTCTTGTAGAGCGAGTTGATTGTCTCAGCCCAGGTGTGTCTCGCTAGTACCCCCATCAATCTTCTTTGAGTGGGCTGCCCTCAGCCATACGAGTAACAATCGGGGCGCGAACCTAGGCACTAGAGAGTGAGGGTTAGCACATGCCCAGGCTGCGTAAGAGACAATGAGGTACACAGAAACACATATCAGGCACCTTGCAGTGTCTGGGTAGCGTTTGGAGTATAGCTCAAGTGATAATCGAGATCTTCGGGCTGCGGATGCTGCGCCGCGTATTCTGGTCTTAGAACAGATCGTGGTGTCAACGGATAGTGGGTAGGATTCAAAACGTTCCAGATCATAGGCCGTATGCTTCCAGTTATTGGCCCCATACTTTGTTTCTCCAGCGGCCGAGACAAGTCAAATGGCCTCCATTTTTGCGTCAAGTCATATACCATCGCTGGCTGGTCTGATATAGCCCAAGTCGGAACCCCAGTGACGTTGCAATACCAGCGTTGTTTGGTCCATTTAGGTTCATTAGGAGCTGGACTAGACAGCCACTTCTGGGCCTTTGCCATCGCTGAGCCACACATGGTGTAGTACTTCTTTCAAGAATGGAGGCCAAATCGGCAGCGTCACCCAACACATTGTCAAAGTCTACTTATAATCAGCCGTGGCGACTACCGAAAGCTCACCAATACGTACGGTGTTCCGATGTAAAGATGATAACCCGTACGTTCAAGATTGCATTGGGTGTAGCTAAAGCTGTAAAGGATACCAAAGGATATCTTGGACCCCGGTTGAAGGTGATGATGAAGATGTAGAAGACGGACGTTGATTCTGGCCAATGGGAGATGGAGAGGAGAAAGAAGAGACCACTAAGCCGAAGCCTGCTGAAGGTTACGATTATGGCTGTGAATGATGTTGGGAAGAGATCATGTTCTCTAAGTTATAGAGTTATAAACACAACAAGACAATAGTAATTTAGGCGCTGCTATTGAGTTAAGGTGGCATTCTCCATTCCATCCAGTGACAAGCTACCGTGCACATGGTGACTAACGTTGAATCTGCGACTTACCCACCCCACACCCCACATCCAGATATTCCTATACAGCAATTATAATCTTCAGTAGCATTGATAAGCTGCTGAATACCTAGCACAGAGACCCAGTACTGATTCGACGAATAATCTGTCTGTACAACAGGCCCCCGCAATACCTCGGAGCCACAACACCCATCTTCACTTCTACAGTAACATGTAGTCCAGTAGCTCAAGCAGCGACCCCCAACTCCAACCACCAAAGTAAGACATCCCTCTTATCACCGACACACTAAGATAATGTCTTACACCAATTGCCTCAAAAAGCAAGCCACAATGGGGCAGAATCAAGCAGAATCAACTAACCCAGACAAGATGACTCACGCACCCCGTGCGCCAACACGAGAAACCGCAAGAATAAGAATAAAACCCACCTCAAACCATAAATACATTTACTGGACCCTGAGTTCCAGCTTAAATTCAACATCAATTCATATTCATGTACTAGACACCTTCCCCTCCAATAAATATCTCTATATCGCAACAAAACCCAGCTCCAGACACAGGAATAGCACCAAAGATGTACCCCCCACCAACCTTCACCAGCCCGCGCCTCCTCTTCGAGGCCATGACGCCCGACGATCTCGACGCCATGCATCAGATCCGCAATAAGCCTGAGGTTATGAGATGGAGGTGAGCACGCCCATATCGTCCTTATGCACGAAACCCCAAACCTACGGTGATGGTACTAATATGACTCCAAACCCAGCTTGCGCAAACTCCCCGACCAAAACCTCGAAGAAACTCGCACCTGGCTGACGAAATTCATCTCGGGGGGACACCACCCGCCCCGGACGTGCTACGTTGTCCGGGAGTTATTATCAACTTCCCCTCCTGACGCGACCGGGACGGCGATTCCAGCAGCAGGCCCGGTCATCGGCAACATGGGCGTGCGGATGGAGCCCGCCCCGACCCAGCGGGACGATCCTGGATTAACGTCGTCCTCGGCGGGTACGGCTGCTGAGCATTCCCCAAGTAAAGACCGCTGGGAACTGGGGTATATCTTCCACCCGGATGTGTGGGGCCGGGGGTACGCGACCGAGGCGGTGCAGCACCTCAGCCAGAAGTTCTTCGGAGAGCTGCAGGCCCAGATGACGGGGGCGTTTGGCGCGGAGGCCACGAAGCATGTCGAGGAGGGACTGTGGGCGATCACGAATCACGACAATGCGGCGAGTCAGCGGGTGCTGGTGAAGACGGGGTTCGCGGGCCCCGTTGAGGAGTTTGTCGAGGGGGATGGGACGCGGTGTGTTGTTTTTGTGAAGTATAAGTGATATCTATATACCCTGGAGTTCTTGGGGGTATCTTTCACCTCTGCTAGGTTTTTGTTTCTAGAATGCTCAGGGTTTGGGATCGTGTTTCGATGGTAGACTGGGATAGACAAGTGGATGTATAGATCGTGAGTCTGGAAAAAGTTGCTGGTCATGCATGGTTTTGTGGATTCGTAGCAGCAAGACAGCTAGCTGTCTATTTGTTGTAGTCTAGCAGTCAGCGTTCTATCGCCTGCGTCCTCGGATTTGGTTCTAAACCATTGCGTAAGCATCATGCATCTCAGTCAGTTGTATCAGTGACAACTCGGGGTATATACATCGTAGTATGGTATGTAGTAATGACAGTAATGCATAGGTAAGCGTAGGCAGGAACCAGTATCGCACGTATCATAGATACTACCATAAACAAGCCGCCAAGGAGAACTCAACCCACGCCCAGAACACAATGCAGGCGTATCGAATATATCAGTAATAGATAAGAGATAAGATGGCTAAAAACAAGCCGATAGAGACAGAATCAACCACATCAGATCCTTTCGTTGCGGCCACAAAGAATTTTTTCCTCCATCGAGGCCTGCAACCGACCAGGGAATAATTCACCGTCCGATAGATTGGAGCTTTGTGACACAAACAGAAACACCAGACTCCGTGAATCCCCTCCCTATTGCATATACCCAGTCATCGTCAAGCGGGCATCCCGTACAGCCCTGGTAAGTATTATCCAAAATAAAGTAACAGTCCATCTATCGTAAAGGCAGCTATACCCGACATAGGAGCTCGGAGACCGCAGGGACCGGCCCCTATGCCATGGAGTTCGTCATGCAATGTTCCTTTGCACAGGAAGCCAAACTCCTCACTGGCGACGTTGGCCGGTACGTTGTAATTGTTCCCCGATGCGGAGAGCCTCTGTACCGTCATCCACCAACGACTCTTTGAACCAGGGGTGCTTCAAGGCTTCCTTGGCAGTGATTCGGTTCTTCGGGTCATACACAAAGATCTTTTGCAACAAATCTAGGAACAGTCGATGGAACTTGGTATTGCTTGGGATAAACTCCTGTGACTCGTCAGTGGTGGCTACCGGAGGCTGGCGATGTACCATGACTTACAATGAGCTGCTTCATCGCCCGGACGTACTTTCGTGAAGCCCGTGTCGTCTGGTCATTAGGATATTCAAGGCGTAGGCGGGAGAAGTACCTTGCCAGATTAGTATAATCTAAGAGAACGAAGACGACAAACATACTTTGCAGCCTGATTTTGGCTTCCACTCCGACCTCCCTGCATCACTTGCCGGACAAGCCGCGTGTCGATTCGCTCCCCGATGACGGCCTCCATCATGGCCAGATGCTCGAGGTTGTCATGTGTTTGGAACAGAGCATCTCCCGTGAAGAACTCCACGAGGATACATCCGATACTCCAGATATCGCAGGGGAAACTCCAGCCCAGGTTCAAGATGATCTCGGGAGCCCGGTAGTGCCGAGTAGAGACCACCGACGAGTGGTACTCATCATCGAAGGTGGCCGATCCGAAGTCAATCAACCGGATCTCGCTATCTAGCAGGACACGTCTCTGCCGAGCGCTCCGTGAAATCGCGCAGGAGGATGAGGGGATGGTACGATTGTATGTGAAGGTCTGGTATGCACTGCTAACAAGCAGGATGTTCTCAGGTTTGAGATCGGTATGGATGAGGTTGAGGTCATGGAGAACTGCACAGTCAGCATCTGCCGAGAATCAACAGCTAAGGAAACTCACAAGCAACACTGGTGAACAGTTGCCGGGCAAAATTTTGAATCTGACTGCTGGGAAACGGCACGAAGGCATTTCCCTTGAGGAAGTCAAAGACACTCTGTCCCAGCAGATCTGTCACAATGCAGATGTGGTTGCGGAAATCGAAGCAATCCCGTAGGTGAATGCACTTGTTTCGATTGGCTTTATCATTCGAGGCCAAGGTGGACAAGACTCGCAGCTCGATCCGCGAGGCATCGCGATATTTCTGAATGGAGCGGATGATCTTAACCGCACAGCGGGTCTTGCGGGTCTTGTCGTACGCCTCGACCACCTTCCCGAATGTACCTTGTCCCAGTAGTTTGACAATCGAGTCTGTGGACGTTAGTTCGGGCTTGCTTCCTTCCGTAGACATCAATGACTTACATCGATCGGTCAAGGGAACATTTGGCGTGACAATGTAGTGACCGTCGTCGTCATCATACTTCTCGCCTCTGTTTCCATACTGCAGATACCATTAGCGCTACTATTTCGTGTGCGGTTTTCAGTCGCAATACTCACATCGCGAATCACCGGAACCGGCACATCCTTCGCCTTGATGATGGGCTTCGGAGGCGGGACGTAACTCAGGAACGCATCACCAGCGGCCTCCAACTCCTTCTTTTTCTGCTCATCACGAGCAGACTTCCGGGTGGTCACTCGCTTGCGTTTTTGACCTGTGTTGGCGTCTTCGTAATATAACCCGTTGCTAGCCCCCGTGCTACCCTGAGACAGGGAGGTGGGCGCGGTAGTATGTAGAGATGTTGTTCGATCGGTGGAGAGAGACTCAGCTGAGGACTCTTCGCCGTACTGTTGGGGGTTGATCGAGAACGAGGGTCGATCGTAGGTTGCAAGATCGTAAGTCGTGTCGGGGCCGGTGCGCCGCTTCTTGGTGGCCGGTTGGGGCGCCGTCCCATTGGGTGCGTTGATAGAAGCCGTCGCCGGATTGCGCGAAGCGGCCTGGGACTGCTCTGGAGGCGGCGTGTCGTCGATCACGATGACTTCCTTGGGTATGCCGTTCTTATAGAATTCGCCCCAGTTGGGTTTCCTCCTCCGACCATTTTGAGCGGCTGATAGAGCGTTCATCGGGCTCTGCGCAGGCGGCATAACGGTGGTTGTTGTGGAGGGGATAGAGGGCGTGGGAGCCGGTGGTAGTGTCTTAGGAGATTGGACAAAAGGGAGAGAGGTAGTCGGGGGGTTGACAGTATAGGGATAGGCGGAGGTGACGAGGCGAGCGGTGCCTGCAGCGGACGTGGTCGGGTAGGATGGGGTTGGCTGGTAAGGTTGATGATGGGGGTATGCGTAGTGTTGCTGATGGTGCGAAGGGTGTGTCGCGGTAGCCGTTGAAGGGGTAGACATGATGCAGAAGAGGGGACGCGAGACCCAGCCGGTCGAACTGAGCGGCGGATGGTCGTCGAGAGAATGAGAATGTAGACGGGAAGAGTTAACGAAGTCGATGGGGATTCTGTGGAAGGGAGAGGGAGAGGGGAGGAGGAGGCGGTTCAGGGAGTGGTCGGATCGTAGTCGGCCGTCCGCAGCGTCACGGCGGTGCTTGGTAGTAGGTTCGTCGGTCGTTTCGTCGAGCGCAGTAGGGGGAGACTCGAGTATCGTACCCTGGGAAATTGGCCAGTCGCGTCGGGTTTCCCAAGTCGTATATCACCAGTGAGAGTGAGATTGAGGAAAGGGGGAGGGGGTATCAAAACAGAACGTGTGGTGTAAAAGAGGAGGAAGGGAAACGTGAGGTTGAGAGAACGAAGGAGGAGGAGGAGGAGGAGGAGGAGGAGGAGGAGGAGGAGGAGGCAGCGTGGGGATCGCAGACTGGATGAATGGATGAATGGATGGATGGCGAGGCGGTCGGTTGGGGAAGATCACAAGAACCGCGTATGACTGACCCTCGCAATTATCCGAATCACAATGACTGAATTAATTACATGGCAGTTGTGGGATGAAGAGAAGAGGAGGAGGAGGAGGAGGTGTAAGCAAAACAGCGCTCATGAGGGTAAATGGCGGGGGGCGTTGTGGGAATTATTGATTGATTGAATTCATTATGGGGGAGGCGATGAACGATTGTATGGATGGACATCGAGTATGTACGACTATGCTCTGGACTCGAGAACGATCGAGGTCAAGCTCCTTGTAATTGAAGAAACCAAGTCAACTTATCCCCATTCCAATTGATCACAGTGCTACTGACTACAGAAGTCGCTACCATACCTACGCTTCAAAGACCAAGGCGATAATGGACGGTTGGAGGATTGTTGACAAAAAGTAACGTCCATCATAATCCCTAGCAACATCATCATCATCATTTACTGTGTTGCCGCACGAGCACCAGACGAATGGAACGAACGGTCGGTTATGACACGCACACCCTCTCCTCTCCCTCTCCCTCAGTTTCCAGTCTTTCCAGTCCGTCCGTTGCGTAGGGTTCGAAACTACTTTTATCTCGTGTGGTCTTTCCTCCCCCTTGCGAAACTGCCTGTCTTATAATTTCTCAGATCCCTCCCCTTTTATCCCCCCGAAAGAATGACTGAATGACAATGAGCAGAGCCGATCAAATAATTAATAGTAACCTTCGGTCGTCATCTTCTGATCGGAGACTGGGTTCAGCAGCCCGTCGATCCGCTGGGTTCCTCCCCAATCAGCCCCAGAGGCGAAAAGAGCAAAAGCCCACTAAACGGTTTAGTGAGTGAGGAGAAAAGTAAGTTAACGAGGCGAAGTCTAGGCTTATTCTAACCCGATCCACTGGACGGTTGCATACAATAGGGACATAAAGAAAGAAGGGTTATTGCTACCGTGAATGATGAGTGTACTGTAGATAAATGGAAGAAGCAGTCAAGGTGATTCGAAGGCTACATGCACGAATACTGAGTACATAGTATATACTGCGATCATTGTGGAAATCACCCATTATTTCTTTTTCTAAATATATATATATATATATATATACATATATTTTTAAGAAAGAAATATGTTTGTTTTGGCGCATGGATAATGGTCCCCGGGCTGTCTGTGTGTTCTGTCTCCCTATAACCATCTTTCTATGCAGTGGCAAGACGTCGGCAAGCAAGCCAGACCAGTCAGCATCTGCACTCTCGGCACGTTTGGCTGTCCGAAGTAGTCCTTACTTTGCCTGTCCCTGCACATTCACCACTGCACATTAGTTACTGTGTAGAACTGTACTCTGGGTGTGCTCCATGCAAACTGCACTGCTGCATTTGTGTCTTTGATCTCACATCACGATCTTCAATCACACTAACTACCATCTCCTAACCAACTTACCACCGAGTCGAACCTCGATTCCCATCACAAATCCAGCCCCTCCAAAACCCCGAGCCCTCGTTCCCACCGCAACGGGGCAACGCAACCCCTTCCGAGTCAGCCTAGATAAGTCGGGTGTGCACAACTGAGCCTCCGAGG